ACCCTGGGACGTACGACGGGTCACTGATTAGTGAAACTTGGCCACGACGTCTGGGTACACAAGACGCTTCTCCACCGGTAGCCCGCGAGCCGCTGCGCTCCGGGCTTGGGACGAGGCACATGGTGGAAGGAACGGCCGCCACCGACCGATTTCCGCCAAGGTTGTAAGTGATTCGGCTCCTAATGTTGCGCAAAAAAACTGGTTTACAGATGAAGTTTGCTTCCCATAGCCGGTATACCTCCCTGGAAGCCAGCTCGTCACATTCAGCTCTTGTTAGGTATCCCGGCAACCAGAGGACGGATCGGTCAGGAAACTGTATGATTGATGTTTAAGGCATCCTACAATAATGCGAGCACGAATCGTCAATAGTACGCAGCGCGTTTCGTACGCATTTTCAGATTGTCAGGTTCGTTGCTTAGTGATAGAGGCCAGCAGCAGTTTTTCAAGTAGTGAAAGGTAGCTATTTGGAGCAGGCTTTTGTATTTTAAAGCATGCCAGTAGTTACAAGTGAGCTGTTCTGATATATCTGATGCTTGTTCAATGTATTTTGATGTGCAAAAGCCCCTTTAAGGGCTCCATGAGCGAAAATTCCAGATCAAAGTAGGGAAAACAGATTGTATTGGCATGACCAGACCATCTTTAGCTGAAAACGTTCAGCCTGCGTTTTGAATCGGGCATTGAAAAAATTATGCAGCCTAGCTTTGGACATGTGCGCCCGCGTCAACAAGAAACAATAAGCATGTGAGCAAGTCTTGGAAACAAAGCCCATCGCCCGGCGTTGCAGTCTTCTCAGGCTGCGCGGCGTCGGCTCCGCGTCTTATACTAGGCGGCGGCTAACGGACGGCCGGACGAAAAAGATGACGCATCTGAAAGCAGCGCTTCGGAAGGCTTTATGACGCGAATTCGTAGGTCTGGAAGGTAGTCCGGATATACTTTTTATTCGTGGGATTTCAATGCTGATGACAGAAACGGGTAAGCACTCACAGTAACGCAAACTGGCGCTGGAACCCGGCGGTGGAGGTAAAGTGTAAGGATAGAATCTTTATTTTTGGTATTGCTAAAGCCCTTAATATGTTCAGAGAACAGCTGCAGAATTACACAGGCTTATAATCTGCTTCAGTCCGATCTTGGGAGGACACGAAAATATTTTTCAAAGACCTTTGGAAACACCTTCCATGACGGACGTTCGCGCGCGCCTGGCGTCTGCCGCCTGGTGTTAACTGCGGTGGCCAACACAGTTCGCTTCCGCGGAAACTGTAACCCTGGCTTTCGGTATTCTGCTTCTAAGGTTGTGAGCACACAGGCTCAAAACTGGTTTTTGTAATTTGCTTCATTGGCCGATTCTTTAAAAGGAACATCCTCTGGCAAACAATGGATGGCCCTTTTTGATTTTGTTGCCTCATTTCAATCCATTATACTTAACAATAATGAGACCCCTTTCTTTTACCCGGACAAGGGGCCCCATGAGTACAACACTAAAAGGCCCATTATCGTCCCCGACAAATGGCTGAAGCACCATTCCGTTCTAGCGGGGGGTGCCTACCGGCCGCCAGTCTGGCGTCACTGGATCGGGATTCTTGGTCGATCCGGAGGCCCACATCCTTGCCTGGATCCCTTATCGCCGCAGAGGTCCCACTAAATGGCCCAGAGACCCCCGGTTCAGCACGACGGGCTTAGCATGCAGTGGATGGCCATCCGTCTGGGACTGGGGCCCCTGACTGACAAAAGGTCCTTCCATTGCCTTGTTGTGGACCTAAGTTATCACCATAAGTCATCATATCTCTCTCTTCTGTCAAAGGGCCCCAACAAACGCAAGCAGCTCTCTAGCATTCAGGGCACCGTCGCTGTCCATGATCAGCATATGTTCGCCCGGCTGACTCAGGGCCGTGACCGTGAACACGAGCTGACAGGACAATGTGAAGCGGGGGTGAAGGTCGAGCGATTCCTGTCCGGGCCTGCGCGCCAGGTGCTGTGTTGCCCTGCGCGGCAGCCCCACACCACACGCGCAGGCGGCGCGCGCGCGTGCCGTGCCGCCCGGCGGGTGCGCGCTGGAATCGGCGCCGGCCTCGGCTGCATAGGTGACGGTGTTCAGTCGACAGCGTGCTAAACCGCCGGCCGGAACGCCGACGGTTCGCGGGGAGGGTTTGGCTCGACGCCAGCCGACGCCAGCCGCACGGGCGGTTGTAGAGCCAGCTGTAGCGCAGGCAGCAACACACGTCAGTCCGGGAGAACCGCTCCGTTTCGTACGATGGAAGCCAGCGAAACAGATGTCAGGAACTAATGCAGGCGATGAGTCCAGGTGGAAGGCCACTTTTGGCTGCGGCGAAGCCTGGAACGGTGTCGAATATCGTCCTAAGGTTATCTCACGGCTGTGACGAGAGGATGCCGGTCGGCTCTCAGGGAGGTACTACTCAGTTTCATGACTATGTGTGGCGGCACTTGGCCACTCCGTCACTTGCGCCACTTTCGGCGGAAAATTCAATGGCACGTCTCGCATGCCGTTCTGCGGCCGGCTCCCTCCCCTATTTACCTTACCGGGGCGCCGCCGCCGCCGCATACACTCACGACGACTCGAACCAGCCACGGGTCCGGACATGACTCAGAGGGGAGGTTCCGGCGCCGGCGCTGCGGCGCTGGTCAGGGATCGCACCGGACCGGAATAGCGCTGAGGCCGCCCCCACCCATCGATCGCCCCGCCCCGCCGCCCCACACCAGGCGGCCGCGGTCAGATCGGCGCCGGCCCCCGCTCCCAGGCGTCGCCCGCTGACCTGGGGGCCGGGCTCGGCGCCGCCAGTGAGCGGCGCGCGGCCGTGGGCGCAGCGCGACAGACATGTCGGTGTGCTCGGCCAGCACGTGCGACCTGGAGCGCGAGTGTGCCTGCGGCGCCGAGCGGCTGTGTCGGGAGTGCATCCACAGCCGGTGCCGGGGCGGCGAGACCTGTCCGCCAGGCTGCTACTGTCGCGGCACGAAGCTGTGCAGGCAGGGGCTGCACGACCTCATCAGCGGACTGCGGCGCGTCCGATGGCTCGACCGGCAGCCGGCCAAGGTGGGTGCGCGGTCACAGACGGCGTCAGGGCGTGACGCGGCCAACGGAGGGGTGGATCTCCGACCGCGTCGTTCGTAGGCGCAGGCCAGCTGGCGCGGTCTCAGCCGACGAGCCTGGGTGGCCGACCGTCGACAAGGACACGAGCCGGGAATGGTGTTACCAGCCGGAAAAAATCGGCCACCAGCTGGGAAAGGTGTGAGCACCAGCCGGGAGAGTGTGGCCACCAGCCGGGAAAGGTATCAGACTAATAGCATGTAACGGGATAATGAAATGGCTGGCCGGACCACTTTGTAGAAGCCCCTTTGACAGTAGGCCTGGTTATTGACAGTGATATGTTTATTACGCATCGCGGGGAGATCGATGAATGTCACATCGGTGATGCATCTTCGGATGGGCTATTTCAGGTAGTTAATTTTTGAAGAACTTCCCCAGCCAGGGGTGCAGTCAGTCTTGGTAAATGTGCGGGGAGACACAGAGCGCGATGAAGGACCCACGTGGAAAGCCCCGAAATTTGTTGGATGCGGCCCTCCTTTACTTCTGGGGCACAGTTTCTCCGTTTTTCCCGTTCGTGGCCACAGAAACTTGCATTAAGGAGACCCGTGGATTGAAAACTAAGAAGACCTCTTGCATTTTTCTTTCGGAGCCCATGACAAGGGTGTAGTTTCGCGAAACACGTCGAGGGCTGAGCGGTGAAAAATGACGAAAACAACCCCAAATAGCCAACAAACGGCTTTCTCTGAGGATTCGGTCCAGTTTCTTCTCAAAATGGGGGAGGCTGGAGCTTCCCAGCTGAATAGAAACTACATCTCCGCCCCGTGGGTTGAACACTAGGGACCCATTAGCTCTCCCGGTCGGGGCTGAAGGGCTCCCCGGTCCCAGCATTAGGTAGCAGCCGGCTTCCATTTTGATGTCATGGGTGCCAAGGCTCTGATAAACCCATAGGGCCTCAGGTAAACATGTCATTCTGACCTCTGTCCTCGGCCCCCTGGCCGATGCGGAAAACCCGGTTCGGCTTATCCGGCTCGTTCCTATTTTTTCTTATTTCTTATTCATCATTTTTATTATTCAGGCATCATTATTATTTCTTACATATATTCGTGTTGTCAGAGAGCACCGACCAACGCACGACGCCTACTGGCATTCCGGGTCCCGTCCCTCTCCCTTTTCAGTAAATTGGCCCCCTGACCGACTTGGAGCCCCGTGCCGACCCAGGACCCCTGTTGGGCGCCATGAGCCTCCTGGCTGACAAAGGGGCCCTCGTTGTCTTACGGTCTCGACCAGTCTAAGAGACCTGACATTCCCGGGGTCCCACGCTGTTTCTGCTTGGTAAACAGGCCTTAGGCCGCCTGCTCAGTGTTGTGGTCGTGAAAGGACCTTGGGCTCATATTGTAGGCGCATCAATACGCTTTAATTACGGACATATTATTATGTTAGAACCAGATACTTAAATGTTCATGAATTAAGCACCCCACACAAAAGCTGCAGCACTACCATGGGGTGCCCCATATTTGTATTTCCCGTAGCGTTAAACCAAGACTACAAACATACCGTGCTGTCTCCGCCCGCACATTGGTGTAACCAGTGCGGGAGCGGGCTGATAAAGCGTGCTCCCCCAATTTTCACGAGTCGTTTTGCTCCCCCCTACGGGAGTGTGTTGGATTTTAAAACTTGGGTTGCCAGGGCAGTCTTAAAAGCGGTTTGGGTCGGAGAGCGGGATTTCAAAGTCTTTACCATATGGCAGCTTTATTTCAAACCCTTCAGATAGGTGCAGTCCATTTGGTGAATGTTAACACCGAGACCGAAAACAGCGGTCATTCCGGGACCGAGCGTAACCGAAACGACCCACGTGGCGAAGCCCCCCAACAGCTGGATGCTTGCCCGGACAGGCGCGCCCGCGCACCCCAGCCCGGGGCCGCGCTGACGGGCCATGCAGAGCCACGTCAGGCGGCTGACGTCAGAGCCGGGGGCCGTCTTCGGCAGCCGCCTCGTGACGTGACAGGGCTGGCCGGCTGAGAGCGGCAGCAGCGGCCGTCTGCCACACGGCACACCTCTGGCCAGCTGAGAGCGGCAGTAGCGGCCGTCTGCCACGCGGCACACCTCTGGCCAACTGACAGCGGCGGCAGCGGCGGTCTGCCACACGGCACACCTCTGGCCGGCTTAGAGCGGCAGCAGCTGCGGTATGCCACACGGCACGCCCCTGGTCGCCCACTCTCACGCGGCAGGGCGAGGTGCAGGCGCCGCGTGGCTCCCTCCACCAGAGATGCACAGTGCAGATTCGAGCGCAGGACAGGCAGGTTCGGTCATGTCTGAAATCTGGGTCCGGGGCAGGCACGGGTTCAGTCATGTTTGGTCAACGTAGGTTCGGGGTAGGTACAGGTTCTGTCATGTCCAAGATTTGGGTCTGGGGCGGGCACAGGTTTGGACGTGTCTGGAATACCGGCCGGACCACGCACAGGTTCGGTCCTGTCTGGAACACCGGCCGGAGCACGTACAGGTTTGATCCTGTCTGGAACACCGGCCGGAGCACGTACAGGCTCGGTCCCGTCTGGAACACCGGCCGGAGCACGTACAGGTTCGGTCCCGTCTGGAACACCGGTCGGAGCACGTACAGGTTCGGTCCCGTCTGGAACACCGGCCGGAGCACGTACAGGTTCGGTCCTGTCCGTATATTCTGAGCTTGCACAGCCATGCCTGGGTCTTGGGCCCGCTGGTCGGTGCAGACACGGCCTTAGCTCAGAAAATCTGCAGGTGCGCTCAATACCCAAGCCCAGGCAATCTGCCGACATGGCCACGCCCTGGCCCGGGCCAGTGGTGCACGCATAGTTGGTCCCGGCCATTGAGAGATGCTGGACGCCCGTCCCTTACCCTTTATCTTGCTTCACCCCGCATCCTCGCGACACCCAGATTGTCCGGGGCAGGCTGCATGAGTCAGCCACGAGTGGGCCGAGAGCCCCCCCCCCCCCCCCCCCGGGAAAGGTACCTCGACCAAGTACCCAGCACGCACGCGCGGGTTAAAGCTTGGCGGTTGACCCCCTTGCGCATGCAAGTCTGCCCCATCGTCAACCATTCTCCTTCCTCCCAGTCCTGCAACAACCATTCCTGGTCGAAAGGGCCTCAATTCCGATCTTCCATAGGCGTCGAACACGCCCGCAAGGACCAAACGTACGGCCCAAAATCCCTTCATCCACCTTGCTACCCAATCGAGAATATAACGAAGCCGCGCATCCAGCGAGTTCACGTCACTCACCTGGACCCATGGACCCTGCCCCTACGCCGTCCGAACCAGCGCTGAATTGATTAGATCCCCGAGTCGCTTGTCGGCCCAAGCTCCACACTTCCCCCCCCCCCCCCCCCCATATCGTCACACAGCGCTCAATGAGGACAATGCCTGTGTATTCACATACCAGCCCACGTCTCGGACCGAGCTCACGATGAGAGTCAACAGAAAGCGACGCACGCCACAGTTATAACATGGTCATCATCGCCCGCGACGATAAATAAAAGCCCTGGCCGAGCATGGTCCAGGGGGAGGTGGCGACCCTCCGCCGGCGCTCGCCGCTTCTCCGCAATACGACGCACCCGCTCCTTGGCGGCTTAGCGGCGGCCGCCACGGCCGCGGCCTCGGCGACCGAACGAGCCGCGAGGTGAACCGCGCCCGCCCGGACCGCCGCGACCGCCGCGGCCGCGTGCCGCCGGCGTGGCCGGCTTCTGCTGCTGCTGCTGTGCGGCCGGCTGCGTCGCCGTAGCCGGCGTGGTCGCCGCGGCTGGTGTGGTCGCCCCGGCTGGTGTGGCTGGTGTGGCCGGCGTGGCTGGTGTGGCCGGCGTGGCTGGTGCGTCCTGCGTGGCTGGTGTGGCCTGCGTGGCTGGTGTGGCCGGCGTGGCTGGTGTGGCCGGTGTGGCCGGAGTGGCCGGCGTGGCTGGTGTGGCCGGAGTGGCCGGAGTGGCATCCTCGCCGGTGGCTGCTGGAGCAGCAGGGGCCGCGGTCTCCTGGTCGGCCGGCGCCGCTTCCGGGGCCGGGATCGCAGGCTTGTCAGCCGCTGCCTCGGCGGGCTCGTCCGTGCCTTCTGGCTGCTCCTCGCTGTCGGCCGGTGCCGGCTCCGTCTTGACCGTAGCGTCCAACTCGTCGTTTATCTCGTCCAGCACCTTGTCTAGGCTGGCCGGCTCCTCGACTGCCGCCTTCTTCACTTCGCCGCCCTCCTCGTCCTCGGCTGGCCGCTTGACGCCACGCTTCCCACCGTTAGCAGCGGCGTCGGCGGCGGCAGTTGGCTCTTCTTCGGTCTCCTGCACCACCACCTGGTGTTCGGCCTCCTCGGCCGCCTCCTGGCGGGCGCGCTCGTCCATCTGCCGCTTGGCCACGTACCGGTTGAAGTGCATCCGGCCGCGGCAGTGCTCGAGCCAGTGCTCCGGCGGCGTGGCGATGCGGCACGCCGGGCAGTACGTGCCAGCAAACGGCTGGCCGGTGCGCACGCCCACCGCCACCGTCTCGTCGTACGCCACCGGCACCTCCTCGGGCTTCTCCTCGATGGCCGCCTCCTGCTCCATCGGCTCCGACCCGGCCGCTCCCTGGCCGTCGCTCGGCGCGGCGGCGGCCGAGTCTCCCGCGGTGGCCGGGTCGGCCGGCGCCGCGCCGTCGGCCGCCTCGCCGTTCTCCTTGGTCGCCGACTCTCCGTCAGGGGCGGCGGCGGCGGCAGGGTCCGGCGGCGGCACGTCTCCGACCACGACCACGGCGCCCGTACCGGCGGCCGCGTTCTCCTTGTCCACCTGCTGGGTCTTCTGCGAATAAAAGCCGATGCCCGTTAGCGGCAGCGGCGCAGAACGCGGGACAGTCCACCGACCATAGCTGACGAGAAAACAGCACTCCGTGGAATACTGACCTCCAGAGAGCACGTAGGTTTCGCACTGGCCGACACTTAAAATTTGCAAACAGCGACCACTCCATAACTCCGCGTTTAACAACAGACAGCACTGTCCGGTCGTACTTACCCTGAAGTGAGTGAACGACAGCAGATGTTTCTCGTAAAGCACGGGAGTGTCGAATCCCATATTGCAGCAGCGCGGATGCAGAAACCTAAAAGAAACACAGCATAAATGGGTGAGCTTCAACCGTCCCAAAACGCAAACAATAGTGTATGATTACCAGCAGTCTCTGCACCATCCAGGCGCAGCACCACGCCGCACTTGCGAAGGAATGAACCGCACCTAAACCCACCAAACGTGTCACGAGGGGCCGTGCCCACATGGGTCCGTATAAAACTAAGTGTCCCCGGTGTGAGCTGTGCACTAACTTTTTCAGCTTGGCATGCAGCGAATCCTTGGCGCGGTGTTCGTTGATGTCCAGGTAGACCCGCACGTTGCACATCCCGCAGTAGCCCTGCTCCTTAGGCTGGGCCAGGCCGGCCTTGAGGTTGCGGCGCTGCAGCTCCAGCTCTGCCCGCTTGCTTGCCATCTGGATCTCGACCCGGATCAGCTTGGCGCTCTGCTCCAGCTTCTGCTCCATCAGCTCCATCATCAGCTGATGCTTGCGGCCGCGCACGTGCTCGTTGAACGAGCTCTCGCTGCCCATGTTCGACACGTTGCAGACCGAGCAATTGAGGTACTCGCTGAGGATGCGCTCGCGCTGCAGCTTGGCCGCCGCCTTGCCGGTAGACTTTTTAGCGTCGTTCGGCTTCTTGGCGTCGGCCGGCTTGGCCTCGCCCTCCTTGCCAGCGGCGGCGGCAGCGTCACCTTCCTTGCCGTCGGCAGTGGCAACTTCGGCCGCTTTGTCGCCGTCTTCGGTGGCGGCGGCGGCGCCGCCGTCTTCTTTCTTGACCAGCAGCTCCGCGCCCCCGGCACCCTGGACATCAAGGCGTGAGTCAGCGGCGCCGCAGCGGGCACACCTTCGCTGGCCCTAATGGTGCGATGTCAGTGAGAGCGCAAGAATACCCCTCCGCACGAGCAAAACCAGCCAAAGACGAAATGTTGTATGCCATCTGTGACGGTCTATGCAAACGACGACCGATGCGTTAAGGATATAAACACTTCGTCCCGTACATGCTGGCCGTCGTGAGAAAATCAAAACCAGAGACAGCAACCGGCCTCAATCTTTCACCGGCCTCACAGCATGCCCAATACCCACGCGAAAAAGTCGGCGCCCGGCCTCCAGTCTCAAATCGAGCCATTGGGCCTCTTCCCACAGCAGAGCACCCACGTACACGGACAGGGCCACAGGCCTCACCTTGGTGCCGTCGCCGCTAGCCTCCATCTGCTTCTCCAGGGCGGCCGCCTTCGCCTCATCGATCGCCTCCTGCGTGGTCTTCACGCCCTTCTTGCCCTCCTTCTTCTTGCCCACGCTGAGGCAGACACACAGAGTTGATAAGCCAACTGGACCGGGCCGGCCTTTTGCAGCATCACTGGATCACCCATACCATGGCACCGAGGTTAGCGCCGACGTCAACGAGTACAACTGCATCCCGTGTTCATAGTGAGAGCCAAACAAAGAGGCGCGAAAATGACGCGCTATGTTGATTACGTTCCCCATTAATAAAGATTAAAGGTTCCGTAACCCTCTGCGACCGACGTCAAACACACGTAATGTGCCGCCTCACAACCCGGCACAATACAGTCCGCAGCCAGCACGGTGGCGGCGGCAGCTGCGACCCACCTCTGCTTGTCGGCGGCTGATTTGGCGGCGCCGCGGCCGGCGGTGGCGGCGCCGCGGCTGAAAGGTCGGCTGCGCGTGGAGGCGCGGCCGCGGAAGGTGGCGCGGCCGCGCGGCGGGCTCACGAACGTGTCTCGCCTGTCAAACTGCGACGCACCCCGGCCGGACACAGGTCAGGCGTGGCACAAGCAGCGAACAAACCGGCGCCCATGCCGACCACCCTGGGGATCCGCCGGCATTGGCTTCCAGCCCTCTGGCGATGGAGCGTTCACTCCAAGGAGGCGGTTGGTTCCAGTGCGCGAAGACTGGGTTAATCAATACGCCGGACGCAACGTTACGGAGCGGTGCAATAGGATAAATGTCATCTCCAAAGTAAAACGCGCGTGTAAAACGCGCCATGCCCTGACTTAAGACATCCCAACGGCTAGCCGATTACCACCTCACAATTACTTTTACTGGGATGGCCAAATCGAGGCCGTTACAGTCGTTCTGCTACTGAGAGTACCGTTTATTTCAGTGTCATGTGTAGCGAAGGACATGGCGAACAGGAGAGTTCGCCCCGCTGGGGCAAACAAAGGCGGATGGAGTGCCAAAGCAGAGGAGTCGAAATCTCCAGAGTGGGAGCTGACGTCCCAAAACCAAGCGCGCCGGTACTTGTCAAACTTCAACTCCCAAAGGAAGTTTTGAAAACAGTATCGGGTGAAAGCAGTAAACTTTAAGGGGCGTCTATGAAATGACCGCCTCCTTAATTTCAGAGAAAAAACGGTGGACTGGACCACTGCGTTCAAGAGCGTTTTCACGCGGCACATCTGGCACGTAGTGTCATGCCACGAAGGAATGAACGCATTGCATTACTGTATTCGCCTTGGCTGGGCGATGGCCGCAGAGACACTGCTCTTTTACGAGTGCGGGATAAATACTTTGAGGACCCTTTGTCTCGGTCAGCGCGTCCTCTTTTTTAGAGCAGTTCACAGGATACGGACATCGACTGAGAGCCACACAAACACTACCCTCGCGGTCTAGTGGCATATAGTGCGGTAGTGGGCCGTCAAACGACAGCGCGGGGGTGGCAGACCGGCCACACTGCAACGGCGTGCGCTCATCGTGGGCGGAAGCTGGTGGATACAGGAGATATCGCGACACGTGCTCCACAGCGCGTGCCTAACGAGAGCCGACCGGATGCTCAGACACACAGACACGTCCACTTGCGTGAGCCATGTGCCGCAGACGTGCCTTTGGGGACCGTTTTGAGACGGGTGCCTCTGGCCACCGGCTCGCGGTCTGCGGCTCTGAGGCTCGCTGCGGGTCAGTGACGGACACTTCGGCAGGGCGGTCGCCCGTGAGTGGAATGCATGGCGGGAGCACGGACGGCTGCTGCCCCGTCGGCGCCAACAGCAGCCGCACGCGCTGCCGTCCCGCCCCGGCGCCGCACAGGGCTGCCGCCGGCACACCGATACCGTGCTCCCGAGTGACCCATTTTCCACTCCACACACACGGTCGGGCGGGGCGCCCTGCCCGGCCGGCAGACACTGGAACACAGTGAGGTGGGGAGAGCGCACGCGGCGCCGTCCAGTTACCTTGTTGGTATAGTCAGCCCGCTGGTTGTAATCGGTGCGACCAAAGCTGCTTCTGCCTCCCCGGTAGCCGCCCACGCCGCGTGCGCCGTAGCCGGTACCGAACGGGCCGGGCGCCGGGCCGGGCCCGAACGGCTGCGGCGGAGCCGGCTCCCGCTGCCGCTGCTGGTTCTGCAGCAGCGCCGACACGAGCGACGCGGCCACGTTGAGCGTGTCGCTCTGGCCGCCGCCGCCGCCCGCCGGACCCAGATGCGCGAACACGTCCGCTTGGCCGCCGCGACCTCCCGGGGCGGGCAGAGCGAGCGCCGGTCAGGTCACACACACACGGACCGAGAGGCGGCCGCGACGCGCCGGCGGCGGGCGCCACCCTCCGCCGCAGGAGGGCGGCCGGCACCGCTGCGACGGACCCAGGCCACCGGCCGAAGCCGACGCGGCGGCGCACGGGAGGCCGGCCGGCCGCCCGACCGGCTGTCTGGCCGGGCCAGCGAGCAGCTCGGGTACAACACACGTCAGGTCGGGCGCGCTGACAGTCGCGGACGACTTTTCAGCGCGCCGGGGGAGTCGGCGAAACTCGGGCCACCCGGACGGGCCGGGCGGGAGCTCGCGGGGCGGTACACTGGGGTCGGGCGCCCCGACGGCCACGGATGACGCGTCAGGACGCCAAGCGTCGTCAGTAAACCTCGGCTGTCTGGCCGAAGCCAACAAACCTGAAGATACAGTCGAGAGTGAGAGCAGAGTCGAAGAGTATGACGGGTGTGGGGTGCGCAAGTTCCAGCCGCCCTGGCGGCGGCCGGAGGGCTCCGCCACGCCCAGTCAGCACTGTCCGTGACAGGTGGCACGAGCGGCTCACAACAGGACCACAATCCACCACGGAGGTCGTTCACACCACGCGGCGTCCCGGCCCGCGTTCCGCTCGATAAAGCGGGCGAACACGAGGACGGCCGACAACTCTGAGCAGATCTCTACATTCACGTTCACGCCGGGCGCGCACCCCGGTGAGATCTCTTGCAGCAATGCTATGAGCACTGGACCCAGCGCCGCGCGCAAGGAGCGAGCCGCAGTCGGGACACACCCGGGTGACCGACGCGCCGTGCGTCGGCACACCACGTCCAGCACCGATATGCGTTCAGTATCTCGCTTCCGAATTCTCCACACCAATGAGGCCGTCGCACGATTGCCCACGAGGCCCTTGGCGGATCACGCCACACGGAATGGGCCAGGCTATGTAGGAAACAGAGCCGGGCGACAAAAACGACCGCTTCTTGCAGCGTCACCGACATCACTACACCCTGGAGCGCGCGCTGTTCAGTTCCGACCCCGGTACCTGAGGACGTGCACGGACGTCCGGCTGTGGAGTCTGGTCAGGCACCAGCGTTCGCACACTGCTGCCGTCCGGCTGGCCGGCCCAGCAGCTCCGACAACGCTTCCGAGGTAGCAATGCTCCCAGGGCGCGCTGCCTCGCGACACTGCTCACCGCCGCCGACGCCCGAGACCGCGCGCTTTCGGCCGCTAGTCACTCCCGTCTCCCCGTCTTCAGCACATCCGCACGGGCGAGCATGCGCCCGCAGCCAGCCCGACACGGGTCAGCGTATCCCCGCCGCGACTGTCCTAGAGCAGCTGCTGAGCGACGCTTTCCATCTGCACTCACGACAGCGCCCGGAGCTGTTCCCTCCTCAGCGAAGTCACGGCTGTACGCAGGGGGGCATTGCCGCGGCCATTGCTCCCAGGCCTTTCCTGTACAGGCCCATCCCAAGCCTACAAATGATGTGGAGCCCCAGCCCTACTCGACGACGTCCTCTAAACATTAAATTGTTTCTTACTGTGCTCACCTTTTCCCAAACCTTCCCCTATTTACATATGAATCAAGGCTGCTCCAGGTCTGAGAAGACATAGTTCAAAAATGAATCCTGCCATGAAGGCTTGTCACAAGATGCCAGAAAAGATCCTCCTTGAAAACATTCTGAGCAATTTGCACTCATAACACCTACCCCAACTCCTAGCACATTGCTCAGGTTACAGTTGCCCAAAACAATTCATTTCAGCAATCAAAAATAAATTTGCCATAAATGAGCCTAGACAAAACAATGATTGGTAAAACATGCTCTGTTTGATATTTTTGTTATTATATCTACCATGCTAACATAAAGCCAACTTGATTCAACCAAAATAGTCATAGTGTGTAACAGACATATTTTGCTTTTCTTCAAACATTTAACACCTAATTTTGTGACAAATAATTAGCAACTGAAGCAATCAACTCTACACACCAATTTTTGGACCACATAGTGGGATAATGCAACTGTGACTACCAAGCTTATCTGAAGACTTCCCCACACCCAGGATCTCCATCTTTTGACCTAAGCCAGCTTTCCCTCCAGCCCACAACTCCGCGCGCGCCGCGTACTCACTGCCGACGGCCGGGGCGCCACCGCCTCCCCAGCTGTGCCGGTTGGGGCCCTGTCCGGAGGCCCAGGGGCTGACGCTGGGGCCGGAGTACTGCTGGCGGCCGCTGCCGCCGCCCAGGTCGATGGCACCGAACGTGCTGCCGCCGGAGCGGCGCAGGCTGGAGTCGCGGCGCGGGTAACCGCCGCCGCCAGCCCCGTACCCGCCCGCCTCGTACCGGCCGCTGCTCCTGCCGTTGTACACCATGGCCACCTGCATCATGGAAACACCCTCTATACCAACCAGACTGAGCAGATACCTGGATGGACAAATAGTGACCAGGCTCATAACAATCAAGACCATATGGCAAGCTGTTGAGATGGGTACCATCTTAACTGTCAGGCAATAGATACACAGATACTTGGATGGACAGTGACAATGCTCATAACAATCAAGGCCATATGGTTGAGCTGTTGCAATGAGCACCATCATAACTGTCAAGTGGCTATTGTGCTGTCAATTGAGTCAATGTTTCAATCAATACTCTGGAATTTGAGAGCTTGCATTTAACATCAAGCAGATCCAGACCACCTTACATCAGGCCAATCCAGACAAGAGAGGATACAATTCCTTCTGCACAGCAGCACAGCTCACTCAAGTTTAATTATGCTATCACCAAACTAGCATCGGCACAACTGAGGTAAAATAGTCCTTGAGAGCTGACATGGCAATAAAGCCATGCTTCTGACTTTAGTGGTGTGGTGATCTGGTTTTTAAGGGCGCGTCGGCATCAGGGCCATTTTGCGCCCACTCGATGACGGTTATCTACCTCTGCCACGACGCGATAAGTATGTTTTCAACTAATAACAGGTAGCATCACTGGCGCACTTACACTGAGGGGTGAGTGAAATAACGTCAAAGTCAATGTGTGCTAAAAATGTGAGTATATCTCCAAGATCACCACATGGGTCTTGATCGAGTAACTGATGAAGGGGCGCTGGAGGAAAAAATTGTTGCCTCTCCCTCTCAAGGCGCCGGCATGAGACGAGCACATGTTCAACAGACAACCGGTCCCCGCATCTATCACACTGTGGCACATCCCTACCCGTCAAGTAAAACGAGTGTGTTGCATATGTATGACCCAACCGAAGCCTACAAAGGGCGACTTCCTGGAAGCGACTTCTGCCGACTTTACAGGCAGGCCAAGAGCTGATATAATGACATGAGACGTAATGAGAACTAATGTTGAAACATGCACAGCTGGCCCAAAACTGCTTTTGGACAGATCAAACAGGACATTTCCTAGCTGTTCCTCAGCAACACTAAATCAAAATTCATGGAAATATGATACCAACAACTAAAAAATAATATATTTTGGCCTTCATTCCTGCATGGCCAAGGGAATGGCAGGATTGAATGGTGTTATGGTATCATGGATGCCTGGGTAACCTTGAAATAGCTTGCACAAAATTGTTGGCCTATGTTCCTGGGCATATAGCTCAGAAACCAGAGGGATTTAGACCTTAGAAGGGCAGGGCTGTGTGCTGTACTGTACTGTGCCCTTAGGGATGGCTGTTGCAGCTCAAAACTCCATACAAATGTGGGGCATTCCCTTTAAAGGAGAGGAAGAAACATGTTGGGCAGAGATCAGCTCTTCATTCCAGAAAGAAACATTGTGTAGTAGTTGGTGCTCTCAGCCTGGTTCAAATCCTGCTTTAGGGTCCACCATCCATACATTGGGCAGTGCCATAAACAAGGACAGTTGCAGATTTTCAAGGTTCCAAAATATTTCTGAGGTGGCAGTGTTTGCCAACACCAATACCAAAAAAAAACCTGAGAAAAGCAGAATATTTCCAAGTAATGATGAAATAAACAATAGTAGCTCACTCAAATATTTCCACAGATTATGAATAGGCATTAATGCAGTGCACTCTAAGCCCCACACTACCTTGGAGGCTTTTAAAGTCTGTGTGCTGTCATTCAACTGCTATTGCCACTAATTTTGTTGTTGTTTCCTAGGGGCAACTAACAACTGTCAAAGAAGTGTTTAAACATATGTTCTTTTGATGGTCCATTCACACATCAGTGACTTAGGACAAAAAAGGATCTTTAAGTTTTATAAGCTTTTCCATGGTCAGCCATACACAAAGAGGTCACCTGGAAAAAGCTGCAATCTGTATGGACAACTAGTCATAAATCTGGAATGGTCATATAATGGCATTGCATCAGTGATCCTTTCCACAAGCATACCACTAACATTACTCAGGGAACTTATTTCTACATGCACTGTGATCATAAGATCAGTAATGTTAAAAGGGAGGGTTGGGCCCAGGTGTGCAGGTCACCACCCAGCACCAGGAAAACATGGCATTGGCAGTTCAATGCTAGGTGATAAAATTATCACATACTGTGTCCACTAACCAGCCCACCACAACTTTTCCACCACTGTGAGATCAATGAATCACATGTGTGTAGCACCACCACGTACTGAGTATGGGAGAACAGGAGGCACGCTGAGGAATGGGAGGGGAGCACAGAAGACACCTGCCCTACCTTAGAATGATAGCTGAAAGGTATCACATGCTATGACAGAAAGTCCCTTCAGCCCCTCATAAAGAAATGCAATGCCTCTACCCAAGCATTCTATTCACTGGGTCCAGGACATGCAAGATGTCTACTCTTCATTTTCAAACAAAGACAAGCAAATCAGCATCAGCAAATCCCAATACTGCTATAGATGTTCAAGTCTAGCTACCCTAATCTGACAAATGTAATGCTCTTCCCCCTTCTCCAGCATTCCATGAACCAGGCATCTGTCCTGGATGGGGGGGGGGGGGAGGAGGAGGCAAGGGATCTCTCTAGCAAGAGAATTAGCACCATCCAAAAGCATGGCAAAGGTGCAACAAAGATGCAAACCCAGTCATATCTTGTGGAATAAAATGACCCAGCCAACCAGCTGCAGCAACCAGCTGACCTCATTTTAGTTCCAGTGACTTTTCCTGCTATGCTCTAATTACATGATACTAAAATATTAAAGAAAATACACTTGACTATCTACTCATGGAATCATTGGCCAAATTTAATATGGACTAACAATTTGAATAAATCTGCCCATACTAAGACAGAAAAACTTCTTTAGAACACAGACCGCAGATCCATGAAGACTCCAAATGGAATAAAAGTGACATATCATAAGATAATTACAATCTCACGCCAGCAACAACTTTCACAATATTCAAGAGCCGCAAAAGGTGGTGTTGATTACTGAATGGTTGATAAATCAATGAAAATAGGGCAGTCCTGCCAAGAATAAGGTAAGGTCAGGACAGGACAGGTTAGTTTAAGTTGACTCACAGAAAAACACAGCTCAATGGTTGAATTGGGATTATTAGGTTAGCCGCATTATTGCTATTATATTTTTTCTGAGAGGACGTGCTCTACCCAACCTCCCTGTCACTGTGTATATTGCAAGCATTACACATGACATTGCTGTGTTGGCATCCAGTCAGTCAAACATGGGTATGAGCTGGTATCACTCAGTCATAACCAATACACATCATGCTAGCAACTAAGGCATTGTATACTGGGCAAAATGATGTACAGATAATAAAAACATGGAAATAACCCCTACAAATTTGGGTTGTGGACACCAATTCAATCAACCCATTTTGTAGCTCGTCACTTGGTTTTTCACACTACAGGCATGGAAAACAAACATTAACTTTTGCAGCCTTATTTTCTGCATGCCATCATTCAATGTAACACCACCTTTTATCTGTGTCTTCACCTGTATCATCTGCAATCTTTCTGCAGCACACATTTTCAAACTTCCAACATGGAGAATGGTTCATAGAAGAGCGAAAGGACAGACCCAAGCAAGTCAGGAACAAGACTCCCACAATTACCGACGACAAAGCATTTGGCCCACCGCTGCTAAAAATGTCGAAATCGGTAGGTGCGCGTTAGAGGGAAACCTACCGAAGATGGCAACTGAACACGCACGACTTCTATATCCGACCGCCCCGATGCGCCGAATCGCCACTAGTCCCGATACAATAACAGCCTAAATGCACTGATTGGATACCTCAACAGCACTTAGTTGAAAGTCGTTTCAGTACTCTCGCCTCAATACTGCCAGCAGTCCCCACGCAGCAATGGCGTCTCGCAACCGGCTTTAGCCAAAATGGCGCCCACGGAGTAGAATAGTGTCGGGGATAGAGCATCACGAATGACATCGTATGATTTTCATCTAACCAGATGTATATTTTTCAATACAAAATTGTATGGTTCTTCAAGAGCAAACGAGATGTTTTGTATTACCAAATTCTTTCTTTTCATGTAACAGGGAAAATTCCAAAGAAAGCTGATAACCAAACTTTGTGCCACACTACGTATTGTAATATACGCGTCGTATTTGGAGCAACCAATTTCGCGCTTTTTCGACTGTCGTGCTCGACGTAACGGGATTTCCGATATTAGTGATCGCACCAAAACACCGGTAAAGGGCCGAGTAGGCGCACGTGTGAATTATTCAGGGCGACGACTGGGAACACTGAACAGCAACGATGGCTTCGCTGACCAAAGGGCAGCTGATCAATGAGCTTGTTAATCACGGTGTAGAACCTCCGCCACCAAACGCCAGAAAGGAGAAGTTGGTCAAAATGTATGAGCAACATGTGTCCCATTTCCAAGAAGCTGCGGGAGAATTTTCTAGCGATGAGGAGGGCATGCAAAGGCGCACAAATGGAGACCAGGTCAGTGTTAGTGTCGTGCTCCTTTCATGTCAAATTATTGAAAGTCAAAGTGTTGTATGACTGTTACACACTCCAGGTTGGCAACCAAAATACTCAATCAATGTGACACCAATTGTCCAGAGCATTGATTGAAATTTACATCTTTCTGAGTCATCGTGTCTGTACAAGACAACTTGTTGCGGTGCATTGTCAATAACAATAAGAAAGACAGCAGAATTATAAGATATTAATTTTGAGAACAATAGTTTGAATCTCATGACTGAAAGTGTTTACAATACAAGAGAGCATCAGAAGATGATGCTGGTATATCACTGATTGACCAGTGAGCTGGGAATGGAATGGAACCATACTAAGGTTTGGTACCAAGAAAAAGGGCTGTGTAACATCTAGTCTGCAATCAATGGCAAACTTGCCAAGTACATGTTAGGGGCAGGCAGAATCTTACCCAAAATAGGATGTTGTCCTGTTTGGGACAGAAGTTGTCAATCACCCAATAAAACATAATTTGTCTCTAGATTGTCTCCTTTTTGTAGGTCTTGTCAATTTTATATATTATAAAGAACATTTGAATGTCCTCCATAGCCTGATTCAGTAATTTCTGGCTCCATATTTGATCAGTTGCAACAAATTAAAAGCTATGCTCTTCCCTTGCCCCATTGTGATCTGATCAAAAATCAGTTGGTTTCCAGGCCTGGGTCAGTGTAGATTGGATTAAGTTATATCCTCATGAACTGTTGGCTTTATTATGATTGTAAGATCGTTTATTTATAGAATGTGTCCCAAGATTAGACAGTACTCAAACTCACAAACAGTTATGTATGTTAAAAGCATTGCACAGGGGCTTCTCATCACGACCAAGCTTGATGCTCCTATGTGAAATTGGCATGATCACCATAACATAGATATTTTTTATAGGTGGGGTTTGCAGCACAGCTTGAACGTAATAAGTTGGTGGGTGCCTACATGTTAAGGCATATGTATTGTGAAGTCATTGCCTTATCTTCATGTGGGTGTTAACTTGATTTTTGATGAATTTCTTTTAATTCCAAGGTGCACATGCAGCATGGAGGTGAGCAAGGGATCCCCTAGTAGGCTATTGACATTGCCGATTCCTGAAGTTGATGTGGATGCAGTGGGAGTGGATGCCAGAAGCTTGCTGCTGGGTTCAGTGAGATGTTAGGGTTGGTTTAATCAGCCTTTGATTTAGTTGTACTGGTTAATTAAGAAAATTAGGCTCAGTCCCAGCCTGTAAGTGAGTTAAGCATTATGAGGTTATCCAGTGTCATTTCATGCTTGACTTTCTTATGATGTGACACTTGACTGATTTTGCTCTTGAAGGCTGACTTGGCTATCTTTAATTTGGCTCTGTTCTTGAGTAGGAGTTGGTGGTTTCAGAAAAGTCTTAATATCATTTCAGATAGCTTCTCTTTGCCTAGGCAAAAGTTTTTATGTTTTCTATTGTATCATATTTTCCATATTATCGAGTTTTAATATTCATGCCAAAAATATGCTTTCTCTCTATTTTAAATTGTTTTTAAGATTGCACTTGCTTGGTTCCGTCCTGTGACTTATTTGTACTTTGCCTGCCAGATCAATTAATAATGCATGGGCTTTATGTCTCACTGACTGTCAGGGCTATTTCAGGACAAATACCATTAGGTAATATGTTGGATGCTGTGTTGTTGCAAGGACTCAAACCCAAGACGGACGGGTCCGGATCCAAGCAAGCCACTTTGCATGACCTGTTGATATCCTGGTTGTTTGCAGGAATCTGTCTCGTCGCTCTCTACAGACCTGACAGAGCTGAACAATGATCAGCTCTCTCAGCAGCTTCGGTCACATGGCATCTCAGTTGGGCCTATTGTTGGTGAGTCAGGGTTATTAATGAGCATATCTAGTCTGGTTGATGATATTTTGCACAACCCATCAGCCTGTCTGGGTCATTTGCATATCACATATCGCATGGGGATGTGGTCATTGTGATGAACATATTTGTTTGTTATGGCTGATAGCATTCGTGGAATTGATCAGTGTGCAATAGGCACTGTGGGACATGTTGGCCATGAGGCAGATGGCATGGCTTGTAGTGCTGTGACACTCAATCCCCATGCCTAACGACCTATAGAAAGAATAGGACACATCTCTTCAGTGGAGTCCTATTCTATGATGTCAGTTCTGGTTCAAGTAGTGATGGGCTTTGCCAAAGTTGAAAATGACAGGCCCACTTCAGCTTGTTATATAAAATATGTATTTCTATGTCATGATGCAGCCTTTTTTACCAGATGTTTTGATCTACATCAGTTTGGCTGGAGTGCAATAGACATGTCCCATCTTTGGGATAGCAGGTGTGTGTATGCGTGCGTGCGTGCTTGCGTGCATTTTGGTTTGAGGACCACTCACCCCTGACCCTGCCCCCTCGCAGGCTCCACACGTCGACTCTATGAGAAGAAGCTGGCCAAGCTGTTGGGACGTGAGGGCGCAGCCACGCAGCGCTCCACTACCACAAGCTACAACACGCGCACGGTGACGGTGACGAACGGCGCCGGCGGCGGCGAGGATGAGTACTCGGATAGCGAGCCGGAGGAGGCCCCGGTGCGGCTCAGCCAGGTGGCGGCAACGGCGCGTGGCGGCGGTGGCGGCGGCGGCGGCGGCGGCGAGCTTCGGCAGCGTCATGCACCTGACGACAACGCCTGTGAGTGGTGCCATCTACCCATCCAGCTTACGAACCTGCGCGGGTAGGGGATGTTTTGGCTTTTGTGGTGTGACTGGTAGCAACAATCTGTGGGATGAGCTTTTTGCTGAGGCATTCCATTTTTTGCAGTGTGCAGGTTAAGTTGCTTTATAAAAGGGAGGTCTAGACATGACCTCACCCTTGGCCTCACTGGTTTTCATATTGATTTGAGTTTTTTTTGTTTGCCCATGTGCTTCCAGCTTATTTTTGTACTGGTGATTTACTGTGTTTGATTTGGCATTGGTTTGAGAAAGGTTTAGTTTGTGTTCTCTACTCAGTGATGCGTTATTGAACAGAAATAATCGAGGCATGTGCAGACAGGTCGAGGCATGTGTCCAGACCCCCCCCCCCCCAAATATCAAATCCTAGGGTGTCTTTTAACGAAGTTAGGAAGGAGATCCTAGGTCCTAGGGGCTTTTTAACAAATCTAGGATCCTGGTGCCAAGTGGCCTTTGAAGAAAAGTCCAGGAAAGATCCAAGGTCATGGCTGATTATTTCGTGAAATTCGGAAATGGATATTGAATTTCAGAAAATTATTTGGCAGAATTTCAAAATGGATGTTTGGCCCCAAAATATCTGAGGTTTATTGAATTAGTGATATTATCGTATGATCTATGTCCGGGGCCTATAGTAAAGTAATAGCGTTATGGTTTGGCGCATCGGTCCAATCTAGCTTCCAAGCTTTTTGTCAAGTTGTGAGTGATGCATTCTGGGCTGCGTCAGCCCAGGTCGTATTCATCCCGGAATAGTGGGTGCTGACCTCAGTAACCAGGGTCAGCCACCATGACCGTGAGATTCGTCACTCTTCAGTGCGTGGTCGCTAGCGTCTGGCTGCCAGCCGTCTCATATTACCAGCTGCGGCGGCCGGCGCCGCGCGGCCTGTGGAGGCTGCAAAGCCGGCGTCCATGTTTTTGTGGCTTCATGTTGCAAATGAACATGCTTACAAGTTATATATATATATATATATATATATATATATATATACATATATGTATATATATATATATATATATATATATGTATATATACATATATATATATATATATATATATATATATATATGCCTTTCTGAAGAAATCATCCATCCCAGGCTGGGCAAGTTTTGAATCTTTGTTGCCCGGCCATGTGCAGTGAGCGCTGTTGGATCACAGCATTGACTAGATGTTGCTTTATTTCGACCACCAGTAAGTGGTGCTTTTGAACGCCGATTGAATTCTACGAAAATTTTCTAGAGCAGCTATGGCGGTAGTTGAGCTATTGTGCTTAAAATCGCCCTTTTAGTGAAAAGCCGACGTTATATTGGCAGCTAGACAAATACATATTTCCCGGTCCTAAACTTCGTGGAAATGTCGGCGATGGTAGATGAGTAAGTTATTTGCTATGTTTGTACATGTACAAACCACGACCTGTTTTTTTTTCGTATTTTGCAGATGGATACAGTTATTACAAAACTTCACGAGGTAATTGTCGACGAAATGTTTGCTGTACATTGCTTTTGCTTAAAAGCTTCGCCTCTGCTTCTTTGTGGTTGAAACGAATCTATCGCTACGTACTGACAATTATGCATGGCTTTTGGTATATGGATTGTCTGGTGACCAGACGCAGATCAGTTCTGGATCGGTTTTTACACGTTTGCTGTCGCTGTTGAGTCTTTTTTCAAACAATTAATATGAGCGTGTATTCTTCCGTGGAGTGAAAGGGGGTCGCGTATTACAAAGCACCGCCAGCCTGCATACAAAGTGATGCAGTAGTTAAATTCCACAAAGAAGTTATGGGGATTTGACGACCACGGGGGTGGGGACGTTAATGTTGGGTCTAAATTTGCGCTTTCCGCTGCTTTGCCGCAGTCCCTTTTACTCGTACATGCGATCTGCTGTTGCTGCGTACGTACCTAACCGTGGTCCTCCTTCCACGATTTCTGCATGATGTCTGCCGCAATGACTACGAGTCACCACCAAACGAGCTTCTTGCGCGCGGCGGTTACGAAATCTGATTCTGTGTGCAGACTGGTACATAATCCTTACTACCAGAACATTTGAAAAGTATTCTTTAGGCTGCGTTGGTCCAGTTACACAAACAATTCTTGAGTTAAAGACGTTTCTGGCTCGCGGAGTGGCGAGCCGACGTGAGTGTCAGTCTGGTCGTTCCATTGCCGTGTCTGGCTCCGGACGGGTATCACGGGGCGTGGCCAGTGTACCTGAAACCTTGGCTCATCGCCTGCGATAACGCTTGCGTTTCTCTGGGCCGGTAGCCCATAAAATTTGGTGACAAAATCGTCATCTAATCTTCTTCAAGATACAAACTCGCTAGGCACTAAATCCATCGGACCAAAATATAAAGTCTGAAGCGGTGAAAGTCCGACTTCTGACTTCTGACCACAAGCCTCATTGGCCTTCTGGTTTTCCGAGAGGCACACTTTTGTCTGCATGAAACTTACAATCGTCAAAACCTGCGGTGCCGGGGCCAGCAGACATCAGCGGAGATGCGGTTAAGTCTCCCGCACTCGCCCAGTAGTAATGTGAGGAGCGGTCAGCTATAGGGGGCTAGCTGGTCCCTTCTCCCAAGACCGCCAGCAAAACACCGCGCCGGTACTGCAGGTCACTTCGTGGTGGTGCTCAACCGGCACTGGGAGAAACTAAACGGAAGAGCGTCGACATCTGCCTGCAGTGGCTGCAGCATGATGGCGCGCTTTCCAACTGGCATCTCTAATGGTTCTGGGGGATTCAAGATGACTTCGTGCGCCGTGCTGTCTCCAAGAAGACGGTGACTCCCTGATCTGCGCTCTCCCAGGATCCTCTGCACCCAGATTTGTCTTCCTCTAGGGATTTCTGAGGGACCGTGTCCACCGTGCAAAATAAAGACAAAAAGCTGCGGAAAATCCCGGCGTCGTGTAAGACGACCCGGCATGACCCGTGCGGCCCAGCCGTGCGGCAGGCTCTCGGGCACATTAAGCTCTGCGAACCGTGGGGGAGAAGCAGTTGGAGCACGCGCTGCAGCGTTGGCCGAAGCTTTTTGTCATGAAAACAATTCTTCATAAATGCAGTTTCCTTTTAACCCTGGCCCAACATGTTATGTGGATGATGATCGAAGTTATTGAGTTTTGATAAGTTCGGCATTTTTGGGACATCCTGTATTTCTGATGCGTATGAGCTTTGCTTGGCTGCGTTGCCTCTGACCGGTTTTTACGGCGGACGATGTTAGCCCCTCAGCGCCCTGCATAGCAGCAGCATGTCTTATGCCTAATAATAAGCCGGGTGACCAACCAATGATTCCATGCCACCGCAAGGTGTCTCCATGCGCCCACTTTTACGCTTTCGACATGTCTGCTGTTTGCGTTGCGTTATGCTACGCCGTGAAGCCCTGTGGCCATTGCCCTGACAGCGCAGGGTCCGTCACGACTCGGAGCTAGTACCGCGAGCGGCTCCGTGTCCCACTGCTCTTGGTAGGACCGTATTCTACTGTTCTCTGTAGCGCCGTTGTCCCACTGCTCCCTGTGACGCTGTGTCCCACTGCTTTCTGTAGCAATGTGTGCCACTGCCCTCTGCAGCGCCGTGTCCCGCAGCTCTCTGAGACACCGTGTTCCACTACTCCCTGTAGCACTGTGTCCCACTGCTCCCTGTAACGTGTCTCACTGCTCCTTGTAGCACCGCGTCCCACTGCACCCTGTAGCACCGTGTCTCACTGCCCTTTGTATTACCATCTCCCACTGTCCTCTGTACCACCGTGTCGTACTGCTCCCTGCAGCACTGTGTCACGCTGCTCTCTTGGATTGTTTTCTCCGCTTTGTCGTGCCGTGTCCCACTGCCCTATGTAACACTATGTCCCACTGTCATGGCACAGTATCCCACTGCTATGTCACCGTGCCCTACTGCTCTCTTCCTCATCGTCAGAGCTTGGCCCGGCGTCCAGCACAGCCTCCCTCCGCTCTCCCCCCCCCCCCCCCCCACCCTCCCCCCGCCGTCGTTAACGGCGTCACATGCGCGACAGTGGCGGATGCGGCGCAGCTGAACCCACGCTCGCCGGCGCTGCGTCCCGTGTTCCTGCGCTCCGAGGATGACCAGCCGACGCCCCGGCGCGGCGTGCGGGATGTGCGCGGCTCGTACCCGCGCGAGCAGTACCTGCTCACCAAGACGGCCGTCGACAGCTACGCCAGGTGGGAGGCCGCTCGGTGGGCTGGACCGTCCAGGTAGTCGTACTCCACCAGGGTGCGAGGTCCGAAATCGATCGTACCTACCTTCTGTCGTACGTTGGACGCTGTCGCGGACGGCGCGCTGCAGTGGCGTCTGTGCACTGCTTATAAGAGGCCCAGCTGTTTGAAGTAGTCATTTGCGCTCATCAAAACAACTATCGGAGTACCCAACAACGTTGATTTTTTCGGTATGGCTCTTAGCCATCATGTAATTGACCCGCTGGGCACAGCCGCACCAAGTGTCGACATGAAGTCCATTCGTGTGACGATTTCTTGCCTTCCTACTGACGGGCGTTGCCAAATTGCCATGCACAGTTCTGTTACGACTCACAGCAGGCAGCTTCCTTTGATCAGCTTAACAGTGGCACTCTGGACGGTTTTATACCGCACCGCAGCAAAGATGAAGCGTAATATCTGCATTGTACAAACTCTCGCTACACGCCTCAAAAGGTCTGCTGTAGAAAAGGGGCGTACCTGTCATGTATTGTGATTGCGTGTTTTGCTGTACGGAAGACGCTCCCAACTACAAACGTTGCTTTTCCTTTCGCCGTCTATCGTGCGTTTGAACTGGCTGCAGTGCACAAACAAGCCGATGCGGTTATGAAATAAGCGCGACCCACGTAAATGTCATGGCATGCTGGATACCAGTCACGCGATCACCTGGCCGTTATCCGGGCAGCCCGTACTTTCCCACTGAGGCGGCCCTTTGGTTTCCAGCGGCCGCGCGCCGGTGGGCGGCGGCGGCGCCTGGGATCTGGACTCGAAGGCCGACTCGGCCGGCTGGCTGCGCCCGCTGGTCAAGCTGTGCGTGCTGCTGCTACTGATCGCCGTCGCGTACCTCGGTTACCAGGTCAGCCAGCGGCAGGCGCTCCCTGTGTACATCAAGGGCTGTGGCCGTGGTCTGTTACCGGTGTGACGTTCCACGCGTCTGTGACGCCCAGAAGGCTAATCGGGCGCGGCATGTGTCGTGGCATTTTGGTTTGTGACCCCGTATCCTTTGTTTAATTTTACTCCACGCGAGCCCCCAGATCCCAAGCACATCGCACATAGCGTTGTGAAAGTCACCCTTGGGTATAGATCAACAGGCTTCAAATTGCTTATTTCATAATTTGATTGTGTCTGTGTTCAGTGACTGGTGCATGCGATTTTAAGTGCGCTTGCCACGTCGACAGAACTACGACGACGCGCCCAGCTTCCAGTCGCTGCAGGACGCGGCCCGCGACGCCGTGCACAAGGCGTCCGAAAAGGTCAGCAGCCTGCGCCAGAAGACAGATGCCTAGGCGCCGCCGGGCCGCTGCCGCTCCGCGGAACACGACAGTTCAAATCGCCCTCCACCCGGCCGGCCTCGCCGCGTGCGCCGCCCCGACCAGCGCGGACCGTCGCGGCGGAGGTCCCGACGTCCGCTGGCCAGCGCGTCGTGTCCCTCGGAAGCCCCCGTACTCCCGCGCCATCGAATGGAATCGATTCGAGCCACGGAACCCTCACGCGGATTCATCGACCCTTCCTTTTGCCCCTCCCCCCCCCCCCCCCTCCATCAACATAATACGAAAGACGCGGGTGCCACCGCGCACATGCGGCCCACGATCGGTCCGCACGCCCGCGGCCGCTCCTGCACGAGCGCGCAGTCCATGGGACATTATTTTTGACAAGACCTGTTGCCTCATTTTGCCTCCGCTTTTGTAAGCGTCACACTGAATGGAGGTGGTGGATTAATTTGGCCATCAGGGCGCTGTCTGCTGGGTCGGTGCTCCTTCGGTTTCAGTGCGCAGTGGTCTGGTGGTGAGTTTTTAGGCACGTTCTTTACGTTTGGTAGCGGTGTGAGAGCTTCCGGTGGGGCGTTTTATGAAGAAGAGCGCCTCCTATATGGAAAGAGTGGTAACATACGCCGCGATTCGTTCATTGCATTATGTTGGTCGGCGGATATTGCTTTGGTTCGTGTATTTTGAACTTTTTATGCGGATATGGCTCGCTTCGTTTCGAACGATAGCTTTGAACCGTGAGATTGCACGAGGCGAGATTCGTCGACATTGCCCCCTGTAGTTCTGGAAAATTTGTCGGATTGAATACAGCGGTTTTAAGCAAGGGGCTTTTAATTCAAAATGCAAGGCTGTTTAACACCCGGTTGCATTTTACTGCAGTCGGTTGTGAGCGGAGGGACATGGGCCTGTGGGAGCGGAAACCAAGGGCATTGAAACGACCTGGCATACCTTGTTGAATATGCATTCCCAGCAAAGCAAAAGAATGGGGGGGAGGGGGGCGTCGGTAACGGCACACCCACTTCGCAGGAGTGGAATATGGCGGAGTGAACACCAACGCTGTTGACCCAGCGCGGAGCGGTTGGCCGGCACAGACGTGGCCTTACCACGGGTGTGGGGCCTCCGGGTGTTTGTGGGGTGGCGCAGCTGACACGGCGACTGGGTGCACTCGGCACAGCGACTGGGGTGCACTCGGCACGGCGACTGGGGTGCACTCGGCACGGCGACTGGGGCGCACTCGGCACGGCGACTGGGATGCACTCGGCACGGCGACTGGGGTGCACTCGGCACGGCGACGGTGGCGTCGGCATAACGCGGCAGCAATGTGAGTTCATGCGATGATGCTGCGGAAGGTAGCTCCACGATGCGTTATAGGTGGTGTCCGTGAAATATGTGTATTTTTCCGCCCAACGTACCTTTTAGTGCCACAGTCGAAATAACCAAGCATCCGTGGCTGTCACGTACACACACTTCCTTCTTCATTCTCGCTTAATCCCGACCATTAAAGCTGACCACTCCGACGGTAATCAGCCAACACGTGTCACGGTGCTTTTCTGGGGCGAGGGGCGGGGGAGACAGAGGTTCAGCTACCTATGTGTCTCTGCCATTCATCCGGAGAGCCTCGAGGGTCCACCGAGGCCGACGACTAAGGGCCCGGTTGGAGTGTTTTAGGGCGCGAAGGGCTAATCGGAGTCTTATTAAAGGGTCCTGGCCCTTGGGGACGTGGAGCGGCTTGGAACGGGCGGTTTGGAGCGGCTTGGACGTGCAGGCGGGTCGGACTGTGGGAAGTGCCTGTGACGAGTGGCAAATACAGAAGTGACTTTGGACGTACCATGTGTGCCAGTGAGCCAGAGGCGAGACACCGTAACAGCAGAACTTCCATCGGTGGTAGCGGTATATCCCATACCTTACACCGATTCGAACCCACAGCTCTGGTCAGCTGGCTGTCTACACTCGCCCGGATACGTTCTGCCACGGTGCAGCCAAACCGTCACAGTCAGGGTTGTCATGACGACCGCCGTCGAGGCGTCAACAGCTGGTTCCAGTCCACACGAGTTCGCTGGTGATGTTGGTCATCGTTTGTCGTGGCGCTGTCAGCAATTGCGCCTCACTCGCGGCTGAGCAGACGGCGCCTACCAGTGCTCGCCCCACCGTAGCAACATCGCCACCGGTCAACTCAACTGCGCGTGGAACGGTCCTGTGCTGTGACCATCACCAGGAAACAGACCATTCTCAGTCCTATCAACATAGGCGAATGAACGTTTCAAAAAGTGGGGGGGGGGTCAAGCTCGGGGCGTACTTCAGGAACTTTTTCTGGAAAACAAGCCTGACCACCGGGGGGGCGTGGGGGGGCGGGGGGGGGGTAGGGATGGGGGGGGGGGGGGGGGTAGTTAGAGAAGAAAGGTTCTCCATGACGGCACGTAACATGAGCCGCCTCATGACATGCCAGTTGAGCACCGCAGGGCCAACTACCTTCGCTTTTTTCACTGCACTGAGCGCTTCTTGCGACCTTGTGGCGATTTGGTTGCGTGCTTACGGTTGCTAGACGTTGGTGTTCGTTTGGACCTGACCTGCCAGGTCTTTCCAGAACCTTTTCTTGTGGGCAGGCATATGCGGAACGATATGGCGCAGCACTTCGGACACCTTCCCAGGCGCATCAGTCATTTTCGATGCCGGAATGAGCTCTGGTCGCTTCGTTGGGTCGAACGTCGTCATTGTTAAGTTATACGCTCTGTACGACACTTGTTTGACGTTTGTCTTTGTGGACACGAGGTCAGAACCTCGTCTGACCTGGATGGACTTCAGCTGAGTCAAGTATGGCCGCTCATTGTCTTCAGTCAGTTTTTTTCAGCTTCGCTCTACTGATGCCGTCCTCAACTTAGCGCATACTGTTTCTGGGAGACATCACCACGCACTTCCCACCAGTGGCCTCTACTGCTGTGACGTAGTCCGAAAAATCTTCCACCCTCTCGGTTGCTTTTAGCTGCCGTGAGATGGTCTGGTGCATGGCGTCAGCTGCCATCGCTGTGTGCTCTGGCTCAAGGAACTTGAAGGTAACAGTCTCGATGGCGTTCTGCGGTAAGTGTATGAGCTGAAGAATGGCACTGATGAGCGCCCAGTTCTTGTTTTGTCCAGAGCAGTTATCTGCCCAGATGGTAACCGCCTTTCTCTTCCGGCAGCTGGTGTCTAAGTACAGGTAGAAGGCGGCCGCCACCTCCTCCGCCGACCGTCCCGCGGCCGCCTCGTGCCACACCACGCAGGCGCTGTCGGTGCGTTGCAGATGACGCCGTGCGATTTTCATCTCCTTCTTGCTCGGCATGACCACCGGGAATGTTTCGTTGTACGCAATCCGACGGGATGTGAAAATACACTCTTTTATCGGCATGATGGCCAGCAAGGTCACCTTCATCATATCCGCCGCCACTATCACCTCGTCCTCCCTCCACAGTCGGTCAGCGTCGGCCCGGTACAAATCCCGGATCTCCTTAGCAGCATGAAGGTGGTCTTCGTGTGCCGAACACTGAAAGCGGCTTTCTTCATGGTGATCGGGTTCCGCGATCAGGCGACCATGAACTTCGGCGACGTGTTGGATGTGCACGGTACACTTCGAGCATTCCTCGCCAGATAGTTAGGTGTTGCCGATGTTGAGGCGTCTCACGGACTGCCGGTACCTCTCCCGTGAGCAGGCCTCCACCTCACCACGGCTTGCTACCTCCATATAGTCTGTGTACATTTTTTTTAACTGTTACGTCGTTCAGGAGGTACAAACGATGAGGAGCATGCTCGTACCGGTAGTGGTGTTTCACTGGATTAAAGGACATGATATGTTGATATCTTTTGTCTTCGTTCTTTTTTACACTTGGCCTGCTTTTGCCTCGTTTGATCACGGGGTGATGCACTGATGGCGCCGCTCTTCACCGCGGTGATCACGGCCGAGTCGGAGTTCTCTCGAAAGCCCAGCGTGGACAAGAAGAGTGGTTTGCAAACTTTGACAGGTTTCTTGTAATCACTCGTGGATGCGTCACCTGCGTTCTTCTCCGGTGGTGACGGAAGGGTCCATTGGAAGTCCATGTTCTCTCCGTTCTTTTTTCTGCGACACCGAGACGGAGTTCGCAGGACGTACGAGTGGTACCACTGCCGCCGTGCTTCCCTCTCCAGTGCGCAGACTTCGTCGTTGATTTCTGCCCGCCACTCAGGTCTGATCTTGGCTGCACAGCTGTTCTTGCAACCTTCAAGACATCTTGCTGGCACCAGCTGGAGCCTATATTTTTCGGCATGACGAGGTATCTTGTCGCGCAGTGTTCGAGCGCGTACATTCTTGGTAGGGGCCTCCTGTGGTTGCTTGGTGATGTCCTTGTCGTTTTCGGCGGGAGGAGGCGGAAAAGAAAGAGCATCGTATGGAACAGGAGCCAACTGATTTGTGTTGTGTCCGGCTGGGGTGCTCAGCATGTTGAGCGCCTCCAGTAGAGGAGATATTTCTAGTACGGAGGACACTTCCAGATCGAGGGAAGAGGATATGTCGAGCAGGGAGCACTCATTGGAGTGTACGGTGACTTCCGACGTAGTCGGCAGCGTCATCGGCTGTACCGGTGTTGCGACGATGTCCGGACCCGTCACCTGCCCGGGTGTCGTAACGATGCTGTGGTCCGTCAGGCGCTCCGGTGCCGGGACGTTGTCTGGATCCGACAGTTCCCCTGGTGCCGTAGCAATGTCCTGATCCGACAGTTCCCCTGGTGCCGTAGCAATGCCCTGGTCCGACAGTTGCCCTGGTGCCGTAGCAATGTCCTGATCCGACAGTTGCCCTGGTGCCGTAGCAATGTCCTGATCCGACAGTTCCCCTGGTGCCGTACCAATGCCCTGATCTGACAGTTCCCCTGGTGGCCGTAGCATTGTGCTGATCCGACGGTTCCCCTGGTTGCCGTAGCATTGTTCCTGATCCGGACAGTTCCCGTGGTTGCCGTAGCAATGCCCTGGTCCGACAGTTTGCCCCTGGTGCCGTAGCAATGCCCTGGTCCGACAGTTGCCCTGGTGCCGTAGCAATGTCCTGATCTGACAGTTCCCCTGGTGCCGTAGCATTGTGCTGATCCGACGGTTCCCCTGGTGCCGTAGCATTGTCCTGATCCGACAGTTCCCCTGGTGCCGTACCAATGTCCTGATCCGACAGTTGCCCTGGTGCCGTAGCATTGTCCTGATCCGACGGTTCCCCTGGTGCCGTAGCAATGTCCTGATCCGACAGTTTTCCTGGTGCCGTAGCAATGACCTGATCCGACAGCTGCCCTGGTGCCGTAGCAATGTCCTGATCCGACAGTTGCCCTGGTGCCGTAGCAATGTCCTGATCCGACAGTTCCCCTGGTGCCGTAGCAATGCCCTGGTCCGACAGTTGCCCTGGTGCCGTAGCAATGTCCTGATCTGACAGTTCCCCTGGTGCCGTAGCATTGTGCTGATCCGACGGTTCCCCTGGTGCCGCAGCATTGTCCTGATCCGACAGTTCCCCTGGTGCCGTAGCAATGTCCTGATCCGACAGTTGCCCTGGTGCCGTAGCATTGTCCTGATCCGACGGTTCCCCTGGTGCCGTAGCAATGTCCTGATCCGACAGTTTTCCTGGTGCCGTAGCAATGACCTGATCCGACAGCTGCTCTGGTGCCGTAGCAATGTCCTGATCCGACAGTTCCCCTGGTGCTGTAGCAATGTCCTGATCCGACAGTTGCCCTGGTGCCGTAGCAATGTCCTGATCCGACAGTTGCCCTGGTGCCGTACCAATGTCCTGATCCGACAGTTGCCCTGGTGCCGTACCAATGTCCTGATCCGACAGTTGCCCTGTTGCCGCGACGATTTCCAAGCCCGGCAACTGCTTCGGTGTTGCGATGAAGTTGTGATACGTCATATACTCAGGTGTTGAGATGATGTTCAAACCCGCCAACTCCTGCGGTGCCAGGATGATGTCCGGCCCCGCCAACTCCTGCGGTGCCGCGATGATGTTCCAACCCGCCAACTCCTGCGGTGCCGCGATGGTGTCTTGTGCCGTCAGCTGCTCCGGTGTTGCAACGACGACCGGGTCCGGGTCTGGACATGCCGCTTCAGCCTGCTCCGATGCGACCGAGTCGAGACCAATTTTCATATTTCAAGCTGGCTTCAATGTGAGGTCGGGGACATCTGCAGAATTAATTAACGTTGTAGTGCCTGCAGCTTTTCATCATGTTAAGCTTGTCTGCCGCACGATAATATTAAGATTGCCTCAGCAAACGTTGTAGTGGAGTGGCGTGTATATAGTGGCGGTCATATAATATTGTTTAAATATTTCGGCGGACGCATCCGAGGTTCAGCACAACGAAAATATTCTCACACGAATTGTCACAGGAGTATTTTCCTCCGTAAATGCAAAGCCTGTGTACGGTTCAAATTAAACATGCAAACCTTGCGTCCCAAAGACCAGCAGCGAGGGTTTTATCATCACCTTCAGTGTCAAACCGGCGCCTGACGTGACCTTACGTGACTACTATGCCAGTGCGTAAGGCTCGGTGGCTGAGCATAAATGTGGCCGGCCTGTCAATTATACTTGGGATGGACTTATCAAATATGAAGCTGATTACTGCGATGCAGACTGGTGGATGGCTTAAATCGTTTCTGCTTATATTCCTATCATACTGATTTTTTCACGAACACATGACCGTGTAAGGATGGCGTCAGGGCATGTTCTGTCTGGTGCGGGACGAACTCTCAAATTTGCGGATGCCGCTGTTAGTTTTGTTTGTCTTTCGGTGAGTTACATTACACCTCGTTCTTTAATAACACTTTTAATTGAAAAGAACTCACCTTGCACTAGTCCTGCACTCCTTGGAGGCTTATAAACTATGCCTCCTCACCATAGCTTCTTGCGGTGTAGCATAGTGACGGCTGACCAACCACAGTGGCATCCTTTTAAGGCGGTAGTGGGAACATAGTGAGAATGCCCCTTGCTCTGGTCCTCCCACTGCACGAGTACATGCAGTCTTCCGCTAATTACTCTTGAAAGTTAATTACGTTGAAAGACTGCAGAGAAAGACAACAAATCGTAAAACAGGTTTAAATCTTGTGGACACTTCACTCCCGCTGCGATCGCGGCGGCAATGTTATGAATATATTTAAGCGTTGATTTACTACAGAACCGTGGTAAGCGTGCGTGTATTTAGTTTGAGCAGCACTATCTCGAGGCGCTCGCGTTCCGGAGATCCCAGTCAAAAGCACTTACGTCGACGCTGTTGCGCCGCATGCAAAGGTAGAAACACGTATGTCCAAAGATCCGCGCTTTTGTCACTCCAGTTGGGACATACGTGTTTTTGCCTTTGCATCTTAGCAAATTTGCATAACATACGTTTTTTCTCAAAATCATTTTTGAAATAACTTCACAACAAAACGTCGAACAGTACAAGTGAGAGAATCATCAGATGCAGCTTGTTTTGGGCAATCGAACGATATGCAAACCTTTTTTGGCCAAAAATGACATACGCAGCTTTACCTTTGCACGGCAGAGGTGTGAAACCCTTGTCACTTCCGTGCTCGACATTCGTATTCATATTGCGTATTAGTCCTCTGTGTAAGCAGTTTTTTCTGGGAGCGCGGGTTAAAAACTTCTCTATATTGTAGCTTTGCACACGTCTTTTGGTGTAGATATCGCCCTGAGGTGTAGGGCAGATTTTGCCAAAGGGAGTGTCCCACCATTGGTGCATATTTCAAAAACACTGGTGAAACCGTAAGGCTATTTACGTTTTATAATACTCCCTTTAGTGCAAGTGCAGCACCGTTTAGATAAAATAAGGATATTAATTTTCCTAATTTTCGAGGCCAAAATCACGCCGTCGGCGCTTTGCAACAGCACCCGATCCTTCCCCTCATGGCAGCCCCAGATTGTTTTCAGACCCCGCAACAACTGTACAGTTGTGGCCGCCGTCGTCATGACGACGGCAGAATCTGCTGAGGGCCGTTGTCAGATCTTGTCGGCTATAGGTTCCACTTTTAAGCTCTTTTAAACCGCACTTTGCGGGTACACGGGCTTAAAAGTAGTACCTTTACTGGTATGAATGATATCAGTCAAAATGCACGTTTATGATCGGCACAGCCGTTGTGCCGTCTGCTGCGGACGGCTACTAAGAAGCGCATGGGATGAAGTGTTTACCAGCGTGTTGATATAAACTGATGGGTACTCCGCTTCCCAAAGCCAAGTACAAAACCAAAGTGCGCCTCGAAAAAAACTTCTGCGGTAAACAGCAAAGGGGAGAAGTCGAAGCCCTTTGAATTCACGAGATAATAGCCGTGTGTTGACCTATCTTTTACTCTGAAAAAGTTTTCATGACTTCGTACCATGTATTACACAAGCATGTCGACAAATTTGTATGTTGCAAGCATTACAGAACACACGTTGGGAAAAGCAAACCAAATAACATGTATTCTTTTATAGTGATAAGCTGAGGCCAGTGAGATTTTCTCGAAGGAGCAGATACTTCAGATAGAAATTCTGAGGTACTCAGAAGGATCCCGAGGAAGCTAGTATTATAGATGAAATCGGACAAATCTGATTGAACAATAAGCAAACAGTACGAATGAGAAAGCGCCTAACAAAATCCCTTTACTGGCACAGTCCCTGTAATTTTAAAGCCTCATTATGGTACAATCATGCCGCATCAGTGACTGTTATTGACATTAGGCCGGAAATATTCGCACGCCGTCGTAAATTCTTTGAATTTATCTTCCGTTTCACTCCTTTCACATCATGCACAAGCTGCATGTGCTGCCGCTTCGCGACCCATCACATGCTTACTCTTAAGTTGGAGTATGAATCCAAATGCAAGGGAATTAACTTTCCCAACTGGACAACCCAGGAAATACTACAGGGTAGCTTGGAAATGTTTCGATCAGCAACATTTTGGATTGGCGTTGGGCAACTTCCTACTGACCGCCAAACTTTGTCCACATGAAGCAGCTGAGCTCATAGGGCCAGTGAATTTATGCTTGGGTGAGTGAACAAATTTGCATTAGATTTGTATAGCTTTAGTCCAGTACTGTTGTTACAGGGATTATGGGACCAGAGTTCACATGAAGTGGAGCTTATGTATACCCTGATACCATCATTTGGTAACACAATTATGGTTGAAAAGGTAAAGTTTTAACATGCTTCACAATATTTGGCATGGTTTGAGCCACCCTCTCACCTCATCTAATAGTGAATGGTAGCTGCCCCCAGTCCCTAGTCTGCAAACCATTGCAGGCTATGACAGGATCTTGCGGGTGCAGAGTTGGGGCATGGCTTTCAGTTTGGTGCATCTTTGGATGAATTTCAGGCAGAATTTATTAAATTTGAGTGTGGAGCCCATCATAAGGTGTTATGATACTTGTGATACTGGTAAGATCAGATCAAATTAGCAAATAAGATAATAGATCACACAAGGTCACACAATAGGGTGTGTGGGTGTCAGTGCATGTGTGCATGTGTGTCATACTCATGTGTATGCATGTGCTTGTTTCTTGATGGGGTCCAGGGGTTCTTTTTGAGGAAGATATATTTGATGGGGGCCATGGATTGTTTGTTGAGGAAAATGTATTTTGTATGTGTGCAATCTCAGCTCCATGCATTTTGGGAAGATGAATTGCTTGCTTTCAACCCAATCTCAATTTGCAGAAAGGGCCACTTTGTGGTTGGAGCAGGAAGGGAGACATCAAGAAGTTTTGAGAATACATGAATCTGTCCTCCAAACATTCCCTGAAAATGGGAAAGCTTTGAATGGTCTGGGAGAATACCTTTTCAGGTGAGTCAGGCTCTGTGATCATTATTGGATATGTTGATCTGCTGAACATGATGATAAAAGCTGCCATTCTAGACAAAAATGGCAACAAGCAGTTTTCCACTCTAAGGCCCGGCATAGAGGAAACTATAATCATTCTGCCCTGCCTTAACCATCTAGTTTTGTTATGTGTTGTCCAGCCTGGTACCTGGTAGTAATGCATAGTCAGGTTTGTTGTGATCTTAGTTGAATGTGCCACTCCAGCTGAGGAATACTAAACATTTCATTGGTCAGATTGTGTCCAGACAGAAAGGCAGGCAACTTCACTGGAAACCAATATTGTCCCACTGTGCATGGAACAGAATGTCATGTTTCAACCCAAAAGGGTTGGTGCTCTGCAACCAAGAAGGACAAGTGAATTCACCACTTTGTAGCTTAGTGGGTTTGACCTCCTTACATGTGCAGTAAGCACTTTGATTCTGATATATGATAATATGTGCCTTTACCAGCTTAACTTACTCTATCCCCTAAATGCATACAAACCTGGTCCTTTTAGGACCCATGATTGTCTGGTCTGTGGAGGGTAATTGTGATGCCACTGATAACAGATTAGCATAGTTCAACCATATTCCTAGCTGCCCCAATGCCTGCTACCTGCCACCTCATGGAGCCCCTCTGTAAGCGCGACTCTCAGCGGGCGTACAGCGGCTGCAGTGCGCCCTGCAGGTGAGGCGGACATGGAGCCATGGCTGGCAGCGACGGAGGCCGCGCTGGGCCGGCGGGCGCGCCGCCACGCCGCCCTGGTGCGCGCGCAGCTGCTGGCCGTGGCCGGCGGCGGGCGCCCCGCCTGCCTCTGGGACTGGTGCGCGGCAACGCCAGCCTCGGCCGCCCGGCTGCTGACCGACTGCCGGCGCCGGCGCCTGCTACGCGCGCCGCTGGCCACGCTGGAGCTGGCCGGCGACGCGCTCACCTGCCTGCCGGCGGCGCTGACGGCGCACCTGGCCGCCATCAGCGGCGTCGCCCTGCTGCTGGACGTGACTGGTGGCCGGCCGGCGCCCGCCGGCGCGCGCGTGCGCCGTGCTTTCACCGCCCAGACGGCCGCACTGTGCGCTCAGGTGGCGGCGGCGGCGGCGGCGCCAGACTCGGTGACGCGCCTCCAGCCGCGGCCCGACTGGAGCCTGCCGGCGGCGGCCGGCGCGCTGCTCGGCTTCCCAGTGGTGTACTGGCTGGACCCGGCCGCCGGCGAGCACTGTCTCTCGGCCGAGCCGCTGGCAGTGTACAGCGTGAGCGTCGCCGCAGCTGGTGATGCCGGATCACTGACGCTGCTCTCGTTCAGCGTGCCCCGCGCGCTGCTCGGCCACGCGTGCCAGCCGAGTGACGCTCCCGACTCTGGCGACGTCCCGCCCCAGTCGGAGGGGCCCATGCAGGGCTGCGCGTGTCCTGTGCGAACTCGAGCAGAACTGGTGCGAAACAACGCGAAACCTGGACGTAGTGACGTGGCTGTTGCTGTGGACTCGCGCCCGTTTGTGGACGGCGGCGACGGCGTCTCAGACAGGCTGGACGCGCGGCCTTTAACGGAGGACAGCGCCTGTCTGGCTGGTGGAGATGATCGGCTGCTGGACCACTCGCCGTCCTCCGTGGAATCGCGCATCGACCGCTTCCTGAAGAACGTGCTGGACGCCTGCTCGCGGCTTGACGGGATGGACGGTGTCGACGTGGCCGTGGAGCACGTGACGTTGCCGTACGTGGCGCTGTGACCTCCATGAAGCCGCCGGCGTCCCTCCCCTCCCCCGGCACAACCCACGGTGCACGCCTCGAATAGCAGCGGGTCGGGCGGCGACTGCTGCGGAGTGGACAGCACATGACTGGGTCGAGCCGCTAGTGACCCGGCGTCCGTGCCGACTCCTCCAGGCATGGCCACGTGCTGGAGGCGGCCGGCCACTTCCTGCGCGCCGCGCTGGCCGAGCCGGGGCTGGTGGTGGCGCGTGACAACCTGGACCGCGCCAACGCCCAGCTCGTCGATCGCTGGCATTTCACCATGCTCAACGACTCGGTGCGGAACACGTCGTACCGGCGCGCCGTGCGGGCGGCCGTGTCCCGGCTGCGGGACGGGGACCTGGTGCTGGACGTCGGCGCCGGCACGGGCCTGCTCAGGTGAGCGTCGCCGGGCTCCGTCTCCCGTCAGGCCAGGCCAGCTGATCTCCGGTGAGAACTGAGCCGCACCTGGTGTGGTGGAGACCGTTGCCATGTGCGAAGCACGTCCCCGTGAAATAGTGCTCCGCGGCTTGGGTGAGCTCAGCTGACCTGCTAAATGCTGTGATCCAGTTTGCGCAGTCTGTTATGATGACGTCTGATCGGCTTAGCCACCGGTCAGACACCATCAGCCAGCGCGAGCTCGGAGGCTGGGACTCAGCCCTGCGGTTCTCCGAGAGTCTAGAGTTTTTGTCTAACATGGTCCTCTGCTGTCTCCCAGTATGATGGCCGTAGAGGCAGGTGCCAGCTCCGTGTACGCTTGCGAGAGCTCGGAGCTGATGAGCCAGGTTGGTGCCACCGTTCTGAAGGACAACAACATGGCTGACCAGGTTCATCTTATCGCCAAGCCATCGCTCCAGCTGACAGTTGGCGCAGATCTACCCAAGAAGTGAGGAGACAGCTCTGTACTTAACCAACCATGATGGTTAACTTAACCATGATGGGTGATCATTTATAGATCGCGATATAAAGTAAGGCTGGTGTGGCTCGCTCCGTAACATTCGTGTTTTTCGTTTTGGTTTGTTTTGTTTTGCTTCGCCGGTCACCTGGCCGCGTGCAGCGAATGGTTGAAACTTGCAACTGACCTCTGCTTGTCCCAGGACATTTTGTGCGGTCAGTGACCGAACTTGACGTGCCTGCTGGACTTCGAATGCCTGCCTGGATTGTCCCTTTTACTCCGGCGAGCCCGATCGCAGCCTGCCCACGTCTGGCTGCAGCCGCCGCTGACTGTCTCGGCCGGGCCGCAGGGCGGCGCTGCTGCTCACCGAGACGTTCGACGCCGGCCTGCTGGGGGAGCACGTGCTCTCCGCGTTGCAGCACGCCTGGGAACACCTGCTGCTGCCGCCCAGCGACGGCGGCCGCGTGCTGCCCGCCGCCGCCACCGTTCGCGCATGCGCCGTGGAAAGTGATTACCTGCGCGTGCGGCTGACGGGCGTCAGCGGCGGTCAGCGGCTGCGGCGACGGCTGGAGGAGCCGTACTGGTCGGAGCGGCTGGACCACATGCCGGGCGGCTACCGGCGCCTGTCCGAGGACGTGACGGTGTACCGCGTGAACTTCAACGACCCCGCGGACATAGCGCTCGGCCTTGCCGGCCTACAGTCGCGCCACGTGATCGCCTGCACAGCCGCCGGTCGGCTAGACGCGCTGGTCACGTGGTTTCAGTTGGAACTTGGCGGCGGCGTTGTGTTGAGCACAGCACCAGGCCTGCCCACCTGCTGGGAGCAGGCAGTGTACCCGGTGCCGGCCGACCGGGGCGTAGTGGAAGGCGAGCGGCTGGAACTGGAACTGTCCTGCGTCGGCCACCTGGAGCTCCGGCTCCGACAGATCGACGGCGATCCGCCTCCCGCCGACGCCGACGCCGCGCCGGCCTCCGCAGACCAGCTCGCCTTCGTCGCCGACGCTCGCCAGGTGGCCGCGCTGGAGGGGGCGGCGCGGGAGACGGTGCGCAGGTGGAGCGCCGCTGGCGCGGCCGCCTGCCCCCGCCTTCTGGACCTGTGCCCCGTTCCCGTGCTCGCCCAGCATGTGCCGGCCGACTGGCACGTGACGGTGCCCCCAGCGGCGGCGGCGGCGCCCCCCGGCAGTCGCTGGGCTGCGCTGCTGGAGCCGGTCGAGTCGTGGTCGGCGCTGGCTGCCGGCGAGTGGGACGCGGTGCTGAGCGCGCCCGTGCTGCCGAGCGGCCGCCTCGACCCGGCCGTGATTCGGACACTGCGCAGGTGAGGTACCGCCCCAGGCCCTCCCTGCCCTCGCTGCCGGCCAGAGGAGTCGGCACCTATGTTGCGGACCGGTGGTGCTGTTGCACGCGTCCCGTAGTTTCGTGTCGCGCGTGTTTGTGACAACTATGATTGTTGTGTGTGACATGGTGGCGCTGTTCACTGACATGAAATATCCTCTGATCAGACCCAGCTGTCAGACGTTCCACATGTTGGTTTCACCGTAAGCGAGAGCGAATTTCCCTTTGGCAAGATTCAAGGACGGCATTCGGGCCCAGATTTTCGGATGAAACGGTTTTCGGGCTCGGATCTATCGGCGCCGATCCCAACATATCGAACGGAGACGGGCCGCGTCTCCGATACCCAACTGAGTGTGTTCAGCGTTGTTCTGCGAGCGTCACGTGTCTGCCGTCGTCCGGGCCTGTGTGGCGGCCGTCCGGGTCTGTGTGGCCACCGTCCGGGTCTGTGTGGCGGCCGTCCCGGTCTGTGTGGCCGCCGTCCGGGTCTGTGTGGCGGCCGTCCGGGTCTGTGTGGCGGCCGTCCGGGTCTGTGTGGCCGCCGTCCGGGTCTGTGTGGCTGCCGTCCAGGTCTGTGTGGCGGCCGTTCGGGTCTGCGTGGCTGCCGTCCGGGTCTGTGTGGCGGCCGTCCAGGTCTGTGTGGCGGCCGTCCGGGTCTGTGCGGCGGCCGTCCGGGTCTGTGTGGCGGCCGTCCGGGTCTGTGTGGCGGCCGTCCGGGTCTGTGTGGCCGCCGTCCGGGTCTGTGTGGCGGCCGTCCAGGTCTGTGTGGCGGCCGTCCGGGTCTGTGTGGCTGCCGTCCGGGTCTGTGTGGCGGCCGTCCGGGTCTGTGTGGCGGCCGTCCGGGTCTGTGTGGCGGCCGTCCGGGTCTGCGTGGCGGCCGTCTGGGTCTGTGTGGCCGCCGTCTGGTTCTGACCCGTCTGTCACAGCGTGACGCTGGCTGAAGGCGGGCTGCTGGTGCCGGCCGCCCTGGACCTGGTGGCCGTGGCGGTCAGCAGCGAGCTGATCCGGGACATGACCTCCGTCCGCCCGGAGAACACGCTCGGCTTCGACTGCAGCGCCATCAATACGTTCAAGGCGAGTCAGCCCGCCCGGCCGCCCCGTGTAGCCTCGGTGGTCCTGACGTTGGGCTTCAGTTGGCTGGTGTAAGGGGGGAGGGGAGGGAGAGAAACCTGGCGGGAGGTGTCTGTCGGGCGGGATGTCGGTGTCCGGCGCGTGGTGTCCGTGTTTTGGCGGAGATTGTCTGGCGCCTGGCGTGATGTGTCGTAAGGATGCCTGACGCTCAGCGTGAGTGGCCTGGGAAGGATGTCCGGCGCCTGCCAGAGGACGTCGGTCAGGTGGATAACGTCTGGTGTCTGATGCCTGGCGTGGGCCGTCTGATGTCTGATGCTTGGCGCGGGCTGTCTGATATCTGTCCAGTGCAGGCCGTCGGATGTCTAATACCTGGCGCAGACTGTCTGATGTTTAATACCTGGCGGCGGCTGTCTGGGCCTGTCGGAGGATGTCTGTCTGCCTGAGGACGTCTGATGTATGTCGGGAGGATGTTGTAAAGCACGGTCCCGTTGTGGAAACTACTAAATCATCCTCATTTGAGAGCTGACGTGGTTTCAATCGTCTCACCCGAACGCTGACAAACGTAAAGCATCCATACTGTGTTAAAATGGAACGTCTGACATAACCCTCGGGTTTAGTACGTCATGCCCGTCAACGCTTCAAGCACGGGCCATTTCCGATCCATCTGCCTGCTGTCGCAGTGTGCTGTTGCCGAGATGACATGCAAGCTGTTGACAGAGCAGCTGCATGATCGCGCAAGCATGCGTCAGCTGGACGCCTCTCAGGATCACCCCGTACCCAAAGCCCAGTGACGTACCGCCCGTTGACCGGCCGCTACATGGTTGGTGAGCGTAACGCTACGGAAGTGCTTGCGCCGCCAGGTGTGCCAGCTGCAGGAGTTTCCGTACGGCTGCAGGGGCCTCACCTCGGACCTGACCGCCGTCACGCGCATCAGCCGCCTCGACCTGGCGACCGGCGCCCTCACGCCCGGCCGGTTCAGCCTGCCGGTGACGGCCGACGGCGCCGTGCACGGCCTGGTGTTCTGGTTTCAGCCGGTAGATGGCAGCGGTGACGCGCTCCAGCCTCCGCAGCACGGGCTGCAGATGGTGGCAGTCCCCAGCGTAGCGCGCCATGTCCGCGCAAGGGACGCTCGCGACGGCCATGTGACGGGCTCGGTGCACGCCTCGGATGATGGCGTGTACATCGCGATTGACGAGTGTTTGACCTGAGTGACATCTGTAGTCTTGTGCAGTCTGCACACACCAGCGGCGCGGGTACTGTCATCGCGCGAAGTCGCACACTGGGGGGGAGGCAGGCAGCCGCCCCGGCGCTCCACTGCGGCATTTGTTGCGCACATCGCATTTCCAAGGCATCAAGCAGGGCTTCCGGGAGCTGACGCACTGAGATAAAACGCACTGTCAATCTGGTGAACTTCTTTTAGTGAGACTGTTGGATTAGTCCCGTGTGGCAGCGTTGGTGACGTTGGTTGTGGCAAACTACACAGGCATGCACACGTGTACCTCATCCATTTTTCACGCTCTGGAAGATAAATGAGTACTATAACAATAATAAAACTGCGACGCCTTAGAAAGTTCGCTATCTCCGAAGCGGAACATACATTTTATTATAAGAATCATGCGTGTTTTCCAGAATCCGCAATAATGTAATGTCCACTTTCCACGTAACATAATGCTCATTATAACAAGACTAACAATGCAGTTTGAGAGCAAGGAGAGCCGATGTGCTATGACTAACGCAGTACCTGACGATCGGAAAGTATACGGTCTACAAACGAACGAAAACAGTCGTTAAAAATACATGTCTGTTTTCAACATGGCATACAAAACACCGGAAACCAATGCGAACACCGGCATTAAAAACCGCCTAAAAAAGAGTGGAGGCGCACGCTCGCGCATGATTCGATGCATCCCACCCATTCCACCCGTCCCTCCCCCAGCACACAAGCCCCCCTCCTCAGCACGTCAGAACCGAGCCGTGCCGCGCTGTGGCCAAAACGGAAAAGCTCGTCTGACCGATAAATGCGAGAAAAGACCAGCGCTAGCGTGAGCCTCTCCCTGAGGGCACCAACGACCGGCGGCCGGCTCACGACGGCATCTGGTGCTGGTGCTGCACCACAATCACCCCCGGTCGGTACGAGTCGGCGGCAGCGACGGCGGCGCGCGCGTGCGTCGTCAGCTCCAGCGGCGCCTCCTGCGGCTCCTGCTCCAGACATGGCTCGAGGCGCGGCGTCGGCTCGGGAAGGTCGCGGAACAGGTGATCGCCCTCCAGGTGCCGGATGGCCTCCACGATCGTGTCCAGGTTCTGACGGGACATCGTCGAGCCGGCGTACAGCGGCCTGCGGGCAGGCGCGTCTCGTCAGCGGACGCTGCACACGGTACCCACCACGGACGGCACCAGCCGGGGCGCCGGCCGCGCACCTGTCGCTGAGCGGCCTTCGGGAAATGCACAACCGGCGAAAAGGCGAGCATGAAAGCAACCGTGCATGCGCAGAGAAACTGTGACTTCGGGGCTAGACCGTCCTCCAAATTCAAACAAGACAACAGCCCCACGGGGCTGAGCCCAAACGTCCCGCGGCCACACGACCTAACCGCTCTGGTTCTGTCGCTGACGCCCTTCCCCAGCGGTCTCGATATGGCGCACCTGTGGGTGACGACGGGCGGCGGCGGAGGCGGCGCCAGCTTCTGCTCGGGCGTCAGGAGCGCCGGCAGCACCGTCTGCCGCGGAAGCTCGTCCGCCTCCTCCTCTTCCTCCAGGCGTGACCGCTTGAAGCGCCTGTGCACCTGATGGGGGAGCCGCGGCGGCGGCGACAGTTGGTCAGCATAGCCAGGCGCCAGCGTCGTAGCAGGCAGCGGCGGCGGCGACGACGGCCGCTGCTGCTGCTGCTGCTCCGCCAGGTGCAGCCGCTCCTCCAGCACGCCGCGCTGGCGCTGCTCCTGTTCCAGCTGGGCACGCAGCTCAAGCAGCTGGCGGCGCAGCGACTCCTGCGGCGGCGAAGTGGCGCCGGTCGAGCTGGGCCTCGCTAGCTCGTCGCCCTCGCTCTCCTGCGAGACACTGCGGCGCGCCGAGGCCGGACTGTCGGCGGCCGCGTCAGAGTCGGCGCCCTGCTGCTGCTGCTGACCCAGCAGCCGCTTCAGCTGGCAGTTCTGCGTCAGCAGGCGCGCCTTCTCCTGCTCCAGGCTGTAGATGAAGTCGGACGTCTGCTGCAGGATCGCCGCCTGAGGTCAGAACGAAAGGTTACACGAAGCGCCGGAATGCCGGATGCGACTACTTCACTCGTGTATCACGTGTCATTGGGTTTTACGTCACTAGGGCCCTGCTGGAAAATACAAATTTGTTTTGTCGTTGTATTGTGTGAGTAACAACGCACAGACAGAATATTTTGGAAACTTTCCTTTCCAGTACATTCGTTCCCTTGTTGAAGTTCGTAACCCGCAAGTGCGGGCAAAGCACGGCCAAAACTCCGTGGGTTCATGCCGGGTCAGATGTGGCTGGCTGGCCGGCTAAATGACTGCGGTTAAATGGCCACTTCTGCAGCGCATACTATTTCGATGCCGCTGGCCTGCTGGCGTTTTAGAATGATGATTTTGATGACGGTGATCTTCAGTTTTCAGATGACGATTGAAAAGGCTCCAATTGTTAGGTTTTATCGACACACGAAAAGCATGATCTGCATGAGAAATAGACTGAGACTATGGTACCTGTGTCAGTTGACCAGTCTACATTTCCCTCTGTCCACTGATGTCTCTCGGATAACTATTTGAGAATAGCTAACAAAAAATGGCATAAGTTGGGAAAAAACTCAATTACAATATTATCTATATATGCATGTCTATACATACAGACACACACATAGACACACACACACACACACACACATATATATATATATATATATATATATATATATATATATATAACACCAATTCATGTAGAATATATGTTCTTTGTTTTATTGGAAATGGTGGCAATTATGCCAGCTGACCTCATCAGCTAGCGTTTTCATTACGTTTGCGCCACGGCTGCTTCATGAGCATCTCCGGAATGGGGGAATCAACTGAAACGGAATTCTTTTGATCCACGCTATCGACATCGCCACCCTCAATTGATATCCCACATGGGCGTAACCGCGTCTCTAAAATTGGGGAGGGGATAAATCAAGATTGAGGGTGAGACAAGCTGAAATTATCATGAGACAACATGACCTGATGCCATTTTTGATGAAAAGGGCAAAATCAACGGGCCTAAATGTAACTGGACATTGCAACAGTGGTTGCACCTATAGGATCTCACAGGTGTGAGTGCCGCACCTCTGCGCGGACGTGCGAGCCCCGCCACAGCCGACCATTTCCGTTCACGGCGGCTTGTCGAGCGTAGCGCCCAGTGAACGTCGCTGACAAGCAATTGGGCTTCCAAAAAATCGAAGGTTTTTGGCGTACACACGCAGATTTCCCGAAAACCCGCATCCGGTCAACATCAACGTTCGCCGGACGCCCCGGCCCGCTGCCGCGACTTCCAGCCCACTCCGACGGCGACGTTCGCGTCTCCTCAACGGGTACGGTGTTTACCAGGGACCACACTACCGCAAGCGATCCATTCTGAACCACGACGAGTGCGTCTCAGATAACCGGCACGTACTACGTCCCACCCCTCCCCCCGCACGGCCGCCCAACGACCCCGCTTCCGCATCGACCGGCCCGGACGCCACGAGTCTCATTGAACGCCGGTACTACTTTCAAGATTGTCACACCCCGAGCAGAGGCTACTACGCGCTCAGACGCCGGGCGCTACCGGCGGTTTATGTCCGGATAGCCTCTGCCGCGACGCCCGGGGCCGGGACAGCTGGCGGCGGGCGGACGTCAGCTGGAGAGCCAGCTGACGGTGAGTCACCGTCAGCTGGCCTTGACTTTGCACGCTACTCGCGGCAGCGCTTGCCTGCCGCCTAGCGCCCCGCCCGGAATCTGCCACCGAATACGGGTTAGCCTATGCTCCATGATCCGTCACATGACTCAAACCCAAACCCTTGGAACGTCGGTAACGGATCCAAGGAAACCAGGGCGTCAGGGCGGAAAACAGCAAATGAGACGAAACAAAACGCTTTCGATAGGCGATGAGGGAATCGAAAGCTCCAAGGCATGGCACCAACTCGGTAGCACTGTGTAGTCAACTAAAACGCATTCGTCTTAAAATGCATTCAGGCATGTTAACAAACAACCCAGAACCTGCCAGACATATCAGTAATTCGCTACGCATTCATTGAGGGGTATCTCATTGCGCACATGTTTTACTGTCCAGTCATGGTATGTTTGCAATCGTTCATGAACAGATGCCGCAGGGCCACTCGCTCGGCTGTCGCAGAATTCCACAGCCAACAGCTGATGCGCTGGCTCGGTACCGTATCGCAGTGCCGTATCCCACCATTGGGCTGCGCGGGGGGCCGCACCGGAAGCCAGGCTCTCGGCGACGCTGGAGCCGGGACGGGGCCTGACGAGTAAGGCCCGTCAGGCCTCCGCCGAGTCCGGCAGGACAGGACAGCGCGGGCGCGACCGCGGCCGACACAGACCCGTTGATCCCGCATCAGTCAGGCGCGGAAGTGCCTGGTCCAAGTCTGACGCACGTGGCGACGTTCCGACAATTTTCAGGATTGGAGCTGGTGGCTCGCCACACCTGTCAAGGTCATTTGACTCACCCACAGGTCTCGCCATGACTCACAGTACGCAGATGATCCCTACCCTGATTCTGGCTCATTTCAAAGTTGAGTGAATCGAGCGCTCAAGTCGTCTAAAATAAATGGCTTGAGCCACGACTCCTACCAAATACATGTTTAGAACTTCAGAGGCGACGCCGGGAGTCAGGGGAGCGTATAGGCAAGTCCAATGATTGGGCATCCGCGCCGATTCATCACCAACCATTAGAATGCAGAAACATGCCTCACCAGTCACAACGTTCTTTGATATTGAATAGTCAGCAATGGGCACCCCACCTTCACCAGTTGTTAGCCCCCAGTCACTTCAAATAGTCGACCACCCGCACTGTCATCGCAGTTGATTCAGCCGGGCTCGGGGCACGACAGTCGACTTAGCTACTACTCCAGTCTCCCGCGGATTTTACTGCGCTGGTGCTCCACCCAATTTTGCAGCCCATAAAATTCACAAAGACCAACAGTTAGAGATGAGCACAAGCCTCGCCGTGGTAGTCATATGGCAGGCAGGCTATTAACACTGAAATGCACGTGCGGTTTGTCAGCATTATAAGATGGCCAGCGCAAAACATACTTAACGCAAGCTATTGTACGTTACTGTATTAGCACATATTACCGCCATCACACGCTTGTCATTGTCGGGCTTCAAAACACTCGCACTTGTATATTATTTTCTGGAAACAAAACCATAATTCGCACAAGGAAAAAACACCACACCTAGCATTTACTTACGCGAACCCCATAGTTTCCTTCGCCACTTTTCATCGTACAGATCGCTCCAGTGGCAGTTCGTACCACGGTCAATGCTCCCTCCCCTTCCTACCCCCACCCCCAAACGCCTCGCGGTGCCAAACCCGCCAGCCGGGCGCGGCCGACCTGGCGCCCGGCCACGCACGATGCGGCAGCGTCATCAGACGGCGCGCGCCAGTCTGCGCACGCAAGGCCGTTGCGCACGGTCTAGCAGGCGGTCAGTCCGCCACGTGCCGACCGGCCGGCCGGCGGCGAGCCAGCCCGGGGCCAGCGACCGTCCTGATAACATCGCCATAACCCTGATACCTGACCAGACACCAGAGCAAGTCACGCAGCTCTCACTACGTGCGCGACTGACCACCATCGCCCCCGGCCAGACCCCGGCCGCCGTGCCCCCAGCCCGCCCGCCAGCTGATCGTGTCTGCGTTCAGCGTCGGCTGCGCGGCCGTGCGGGCCGTCGGGCGTGGCACTCACCTTGCTCAGTTTCTCGCCCTCGCGCTGGGGCAGCAGCGCCCGCAGCGTCTGGAAGCCCGAGTTGATGCTCTCCATGCGGCGGCGCTCATTGCTGTTGGCGATCTCGCGCCGGAACCGCTTCTCCTGCTCCATCGCCGACCTGGGCGACACGGCCTGCGCGCCGGCCTCCTGCAGGCTGCAACAGCAACCACCAGCGTCGCCGTCACGGTCACGGTCAAGGTCACGGTCATGCACAGGCGTCACAACCGCAGACGTCCAGCTGGCAACCTCACACGAGGTCACCGCACGACCCGTAGAAGGCACCGGTAGAGTAAATACCGACAAGCGTGAAGGGGAGCGGATGGAACAGGGCCAGGGCCATGGCTCTGCAGAAAAATACAGATGTCAAAAATTCCACAACTTCTAGGTAGTCTGGGTCGATAGATTTACCTCCTGTGGCAAAGATAAACCTGTGACGCCGAAGTGCCTAGGCACTTGCACACACTTCACCTTGTATCCAAAGGGAACGCTCCACATCTCCACACATTGAAGCAAGCATCAAATACGATAACGTCAACTCACCAATGTGGTAGTCATAACTGGAAAAGACTGCTCGGACAACCTAATTTCTCTATTAAGTAGAAATAATCCTCAATATGTCATTGTTTGATTGCGTCCGTCATTTGCAAAATGACTGAGAGCCAACTGATACCGGCACATCTGGAAACCGTGCTCACGAACGCTAGATGTGAACAACTCGACAATGGGTTTTTCCTTAACTCTGATCGCCGCATAGCCAACGGAACGGTAGTATTTGAATGACGTTATTATGCAGTTGAAAATTCGAAGAAAAAAAATATAGTAGCGGAGTACACATTTTCTTTAGTGGAGTATAAAATTATCCAAGTGCTGTAGGTCATTACAGCTTTATTCAGGTTATCTTTGAGGGATAATAGCACAATGGTTGGCGCTCAACAAAGCGTCATATAGCATCCTGAACACCTGGGTGACCCTAAAATAGTCTGCACGAAATGGTCGGTTCATCTTTGCGGGCGCTTAGCTCGGAAACTGAAGAGTTTAGAAGGAGCTTAGAAATAGTAAACAAAGAGTTTAGGTCTTTAAAATAGCAGGGCCGTGAACTGCACCGAATGATCTTCAAGATGGCAATTTTGGCCAAAAACCCCATACAAATGTGGAACATTCCCTTAAAGAGGAAATTATTCAGGAACAATGCCCTTGTGTGTCACAATTGCACTACAGCATCGACCCAAAAGTATATTTTTACTGCCTGAATGACCACGTAACGCAGACCGACATGACTTAAGCAAACCTTTAACGGTCGTACTTTACGAGCTAAGACGTGGCCAGGTTGCGCGCTAATCGTAAGAGTTCTCCAAGCCACCGATAACATTTGAAATTTTGCTTTGCCTCTTGTTGGATGGGAATGAGAGTTTCAGACCTTCGCACTCCCAACCAGGCATATTCCCCCTCCCGAGAGGACGTTTGAGCGTCTCGGGGAAAACGTGGATAGCCAAATCGTGGATGACTCGTGGAAGAAGTCCGGGCAGGAGTGTACTCTCCTATTCAGTAAGGGAAGGCTCCATCCACCAACTTCGAGAAGAAAGTGGGTCAACTCCAGGGAAACCTCCTTATATAATATAGGGTAGGTTTGACCATTTTCCGCCCACTCATGCGTCATCTATTTTACAGTTGCACCTTATTTTACCCGTGCGTCCATGCAGCGCAAGCAAACATGGACTGGCAGGTTACGCTTCAACTGAACCATGTGCCGCATACAATGAGCCGGTAATACGTGGTGCGTGACGGCGCATGTGTAGTCACCTTCCTAGTCAGCGCCTCACTGCTCGAGCTGCCTGAACGCAGGGGTGTATTTTGCAAAATGAGTTGCGCGCGTTCGAACCCCAGTTGCGCAACGCCCCCTCCCGCCCCCCGCGAGTTCTGTCCATTGCAGTTGTTGGCGTTCCATATAAAGGTACGCGATGACGCAGGCCGCGCATCCATTTATTGAATTGCGGGCGTGTAATGATGCATCTATTTAGGACTATATCAGCGCTGATGTTTTATCAGGCTCCAAGTTGATGTTAACACGCATGGCCGCGTTCAACTGAGCATCAGGGTGATAACCCCCCCCCCCCCCCCCCCCCTCTCGCCGCGGCGGGCCAGGCACGGCCTGTTCTCGCTCCAGTGACACCTTGCGCTGCCTCAGCCACGGGGGGGGGGGGGGGGGCGCCGGGTCCTGTGAGAGACGGCCCACGCCATACTTGTGTTCAGGGCGGTACAATTACAAGCGGTACGGTTGTCGTTGCTGTAAAGGAATATCACATCAACCAGCCGCAAGTGCGAGAAAAATCTGAAACAAGCGCCCTAAAACAGCCGAATACCCGTGAAAATCAGGGCTCGGGAGGTACACAAACAAGGGTGCACGTTACAAATCGCATGACGACGAGACACAGCAGAACAAAACACCGATATTCACGCAACTCACCTGCCCAAGATACCGGCAACCTCCTCGTCTCGGCTATCAGGTATTTCGCCAACAGTGCGCTCCCCCCCTGAGGTGGGGCGCATATCCACGCGTGTTTACACTCTCGATGTGCACTTTAACATGACCCACTTAATCCACCACTGGCAAAATACCACAATTTTCAAATTCAAATCACTGCGCGCGCCCAACCCCAAGCCACAACGAACACCTAATGGCGGGCGGGCCTTGGCGGGAAACAGCTGCACCTCGCGGCCAGTACAAGTTCGTGCGCGTGCCAAGGTCATTAAACACTGATGATCATTCGATTATGACAGCTACAATTTGCCATGAAAAGACATTATCGAAATTCCACAGGCACCTTGTTGCATATGTCATGCAGTTTTTGCTACTTTTTCAGAAAACATTATGCTCTATATTCTTCCGCGTGTGCACACACCGCTCGCCCTCCTTACTAGGTGGCGCCACGTGCAGACGGCAGCCGGCAACCGAAGCGTCAGCTGACGCCGAGCTGACCTCCATCCAGGTTGAAGGAATTTTCTCTGTCTGGCTGGAACGAAAGGATGTAGATTAAAATTACGTACCGCCGAAACGCTGTTAATGTGATTAACTTCAATGTTACTGAAAGGTGCGTTCTGTAGAGCTTGCCGACTAATTTACGTGATGGTTAGATTTAAATCACAACCTTTCTGCAATGGTCAATTGCGTAGCAGTGTCCAACGTGCAAGGGAGGCCACGTGGGTGGAGTGCCTTTTTTAGACAAAACTACAGGTCAAGTCGAAGAGTGAAACACTTTCCTTCATGAGGCGTAAGCCAGGTGCGCAACTGAACTCCAAACATACCGCATGGATCTATAAAAGAGTGGGATGCAACTGGGAGCGACTGTCAATGAACGCCACCCACCTGGGCCCAGAACGATTTCCACGAGACTGACGAGCGTTGACGTGGTCAATTTGTTTGTCGGAAGTTCGCAGGTGATTCTGCCAGTTTTGGTAACCTGTGCCTAGTTCACAACCAGTCACAAGGATGGGTGTTTTTAGTGCTTGCTTGCAAACATGGAGGGTTCCTTTGCGATGTCGGTCCGTGGCATGCCGCCCTAAGAGGCGTAATGGGGTTCAACTGGCAGATACCGAGACAGGTATAGGAATTCTCGCTGCTTGGCTCGCCGATTGTGCGAGGTCACTTGCCACCCAGGCCATCGAAAGCTGTCAGATTAACGCCACAATTGGCTAAGGGGCAGCAGAGCAGCAGCAGAGAGAGCAGGACAGATGCGGTGTTAAGCTGGTCCGCGCAGCAGCAAACGCGTCCACCCCAAGCGCACCGTATATTACCAATCGACTGTGACTCGCTTACTCCAGGCTCCGCATCCGACTGGGTGCCTGGGGACGTCACGTGACCGCGGGTCACCTGACCTGCCGGAGGGTCAGGGGCCGGCCGCGGCAGCGCGGCGTGCCGCAGAGGCAGGGGCGGTGGCAGTGGCGCGAGCTAACGAGGAAACCACAGCAGAGAAGCTGTTTTATCCCGCAACCATAACTCCGACAAGACCTATCCTTAGACAGATAGCAATCTCACGCACTGATGTTCCAAGAAATGTTGTTCCAAGCTGATGTTCCAAGAAAAGGTCACATGCTCATTTAAGGCCAGTGACCTTCTTTGATCCTTTGAAGGCCATAGCGACTAAAATTACACAACACCGCTTCGAGTTTTACATTTGAATAGGGGACAACGATTACTCTAGGCAGTACGTTCCTGAAAACAAAATTTTGGACGGGGTCATTTTCGGTCATTGACCTTTTCTAAACTTTGAGAAGCCCATTCGAGCTGCATAATGCGGTTTCTGTAATCGATGAATTTGAAACTACTCCATACAGCAAGACCCAGAGTAATTGAAACAGGTTAGATATGACCTTGGTCTGACTTTCATGCCTTACCTTAGATCAATGGAATTTGTTTATTCCATTGTTGTGTTGCCTAAGAAAGTATCTCAGAGATGCTGGCTTCGTTTAATATCTCATTCTCGCATCAGATTGAACAATTCCCTAGAAATCGGCTTTGCAGAATCCATGGCCTGACTTTGGCCTGCTGTAGGTCAGCGCCCTTATAAGGCACATATAAATGTTTAATACCAAACGATCTGCTGTTCAACTGTGCACAGCTACGCAATATCTGGAGCGGGTACGCCGCGTCGTTCGGAAACCATTCTGGAACAACCTTGGGGGAGGGTCAAGTTGACCTTCCACCCGAGCGCGTATTAGTGCAGCTGCAACAGACGGGGAACAATGACAATATGATTGTCATACAGCTGACCGCTTCGTCACGCTGCACACCTAAACTACATGTCTAGGGCACTTACTTCTATACGGCGGTGAGTAGCGTGTCGCAGCCCGTGTAACAATCAAATTTGTGCAGAAATATTACAAGGTAGATTGCAAATGACTGAAACAGACGAAATGTACGACGTAGATTAAAAGGCAACGTAAATTTTACGTTCGGAACCAAAAACATGATTTTGGTAGATGCTAAACTGTCTAACTGGGAAGCTAATTGATCTGTGTTTATGTTTAAATGTGCTATTGTTTAGAGATGTATTACATTCGTGTAAAAGAAATAACTAAAGGCTGTCGGGTAGCCATAAACAGCTGGTTCATTGGCATTATGGGACACCTCGTCTGCTAGCTCCATGTTGTAGTAACAATGCTCTAGATAAACTACCATTCAGGCATTTTGTAGAACAGATGCAATGTTAAAGTGTAGCCTTCTGATGTTACGTAAGTTGTTTAGTGCATTAGCGAGGAACACTACTCATATGGATAAGACAGTGGCATTGGCCTTACTCATGCGGAGAAAAACCAGGACAATACAGATGTAGTTGGGCTGATATTTCGGCAACATGCCGTCATCAAAACAATGATGTTGCATTGCGTCTGTCTGGTGTCCAGGGTCGGCGGCACGTTTTCTTGGTTGGACGGGGGGGGGGGGGGTGCAGCTTTTCCAGAAAGGAGGCAGTGGGCAAGGGGGCCTAGGGCCCACCCCAGTTAGCAATACCATATAATGTGTTAATGTGTACATATGTCGTTTCCGTCTTTGCCGTTCCTGCACGCATTATCACATACTTATGATCGAACTCGCAACAATGCGCCTACGCCAAGCAATGCACGGAAGCATCTACCCTTTATTTTAAGTTAAGGCCAGCAATATTAGGGCTCATGAGTGACTGTAATGACCCAGACAATATGCAAATGTAATTAAACACAAGGGACACAGCGTTCACAAAGCACCAAAGTTAACACCCGATTTCAAAGCATTCGTTAATTTACGTCGCATCCTTCTCCCGGTTGCACGCATGCGAACGCTGATGACTAATAAAGGACCCAGCTGGTGGTTAGGGTGTGTGTGTGGGGGGGGAGGACAACTTCCCCTTGCCATTGCCTTGAGGATAACTTCCTCTTGCGCATTGTATGTGCATAAACATTCACACAAATATTTGGGGCGACACATGTATTCGTCTTACTCACACTAAATCTATAAGCGTTTTCTTTAACACAATGTGTAAATGCCCAACGCTGTAGCGGAGAAACACCAAACTAATAATGTATCTGAGACTGTTTTAAAAGAAATAGACCAAATCCCAAATCACTGATTAATCCATTGCAATTTTATTTACGGCAGATCTTTTTGTTTACAACATGCGCAGAACTAAAAGCACATAGTCAGGCTCGTAATTGTTTCCAACATATTTGAATCACAAGCTAGCTGCCGTCGAGTCATTTTCCCTTTTAAGTCCCTTTTAAGTTCGCAGCTAGCTGCCTTTTCCTGTAATATATTCCATTAATTTTAAGACTAGACATTCAACTTACCTAGACTCGTGCTGCCTGTTCGTCACTGCCTTTGCAACAAAGGTTTGTGACTGGGGATTCTGCTAGGCTCTGCATCCGTCGTAATTCCTATAGGTATGGAAACAGGATTTGGAAGGGGTCATACCCTCATTTTTCGAAATGGTGGACAGCGATGGCTAACCCCCATCCCCACTCCCTATGCAAACACAAATGAACAGCGCAATACTGTTTGGATGGAGAATTGGTGGGCACACCTATTCATACGTCCCATTTGTACTCATTGCGTCCCACTTCCTCCCCATTCGGACATCATTTGTCGTATATTGCTCGCATCTGGTCCTTATTGCTCCTACCTGGCTACATCCTTTCCATGTGATACACATGCAGATGTTCGGACGGGAGTAGTTCTACAAGAATGTTTTGGTACGGGAAGTGTCGGAACACGGAATCTAGGAAAATGGCACACCAAAAAGAGAATTTTCCATCGAAATCGTCGAGAATGTGGCCTGCAGTGAACCTGTTTTGACTTTGTGAACTATAGCTTGGTATGATCGAACAGACTATCAGCGGCTCAAAACGTCTTTCAATGGTGTTTTTAAATCGTTGACATTCGTAATTTAAAATCATCTTGAGTTCCAAGCTGACAAGCACGATCAAAATTACCCAGCAGCCTTGATTTTGCAACTGCTATGTGACTGGGGATGCAGTTTTTGTGGTGGTGTTTCGCATAGCATTTAACATTGCTTCTCACACCTTCATAATATCACTAGCCGCCGCATGTAACTGCTATTCTTATCAGTTTTATAACCTCCCGCACCTGCTGTCGCAAAAGCGCGCAAAAAATGTTACTTCAGTCTGCTCAGCTCGGGTTCCCCACAGTCTAGTCGTAGCTTGATGCGTGGGCACACACGTCTTTGCGTCGATATCAGTTTTTTAAACTGCGGTTCGTTGAGAGGATGCAACCTAGGCAAGACAAAAAGCTACAGCCGGCTTCTTAAGCCTGGCCTTTGTTGACCTGGAATGACATAATTGGCTCACCTCTTGAAAGGTTTGCTCCACAAAAGCTTTTAGGCACATTTACTCTCTCCATAAGCTCCAATGGGCGCTGCGACACAGATAGCTGCAGAAGTGATGGCAGATAAGATGTCGCCGGCAGCTCCGTTATGCGTGCCATCACGCCTGATGGGAGGCGGGCTTCCCGCGGACGGGCAGGCTCTGTCCCGGATACGACTCCTCTATCTCTTGGCCTCCCCGTGCTGACGTCGCCGATTTTGTTGTTTGTCTCACACCGGTGCTTACTCAGTGACTGCCTGCCGCCTGCGGGCCTGCTCGGTCTCACGGCATCATCCAGCCGGTAGGAGCCGTCCGACGCGGGACCTGAGCTGCGGG